GACTACGTAGTTCCCTCGCTGTCTGATATTGCGGTACATGACGACAAGCTACAACAGTCGCTCAAATGTCCAGATAAGGCGAGCCCCTTTCGGGAACGACTTTGCACGCAGAACAAACGAGAACCACCCAAATGGGAGGTCCGACAGGTGTTGACACTCCGCATGCCCTCCACTTTTTGCGCGGCAAAGCCGGTCAGCTTTGAGCGAGCGGCTGATGGTTTCCCGCGGGTTCAGCACGAAGGTTGCCGCGGCCAGTCGCCCAAAGTCCCCTGGCATTGTGACGCGTGCGGCGCAAGCGGACAAGCCGCGAGCAAGAGGAATCGGGATACCTCCCTGTTGGTAGTTTGGTGTGAAAGCTTCGTAGTCAGCAATCCAACAGCCCAACAGCCCATTAGTCCAACAGCCCACCAGCCCAACAACAGCCCCAGCCCACAGCAAAAAGCAACAACAGCCCAACAACCCAGTAGCCTAGCAACCTCTGTTTTGAGTCTCTGAACTTGGGCTTGTTTTTTTGGGCATGATGGGGAACTGTGCTTGATTTAGTTCCGAAGCACCAAGAGAAGAAGTCGAGCGCCGAAGCGTGGCCCGCAAGAACTGCAAGAGGGGTTGGAGGAGCAGTGGCCGGGAGCCCCCGGAGCTGTTGGCCTGAAAGTCGAGTGGCTAAGTTCATTGCCCAAGATTTCTCGGTAATATGTTCACAATGATTCACTCAGACAAATGGATTACAGCTGATGTCGGATAGCGAGTAGTAAATGCCAGGCTGCCAAGAAGCTTCTGCAGATTGATCGGCCAAGAAGACAACACGATTCCAGGAGACAGTCCACAACTATACCTTGGAATTTAAGTCTTGACTCAACCAATTGCCATTTGAGGGGATTGAATCCGGGCAGGCAGCCCATTAGAGGCTTGAATAGGACCCCCCACTTCGCCGGGCACGCAAATCAACGGGGTGTCTCAAGATTCGGGCGAACTCCAAAATGGATGCTTGCCTTTTGGTTTCCTTGAAGCAAAGCCCAAAAAGAGTACCGTCAAAAGAGATACACCAAAACAAGACCCAAGGGTGCACCAAAAAAGGAGGGTTTCTCTTTAGCTCCTCTTTGCAACACTCCGAAAAAGTAACTCCTACATCTGGGGAACGCAGTAAATCATTCATATATGTTCAGAACCTAGTTCACATCATAGCACAGAAAGGTGAACGAGCGAAGAGAATGAAGAGATGGCCCGTCGCTTGCCCATCCATTCTCTTCGTTCATTCCTCTCTCCATCCTCTGGTTCCCCTAGGAGTGGGAAGATGGAGATAGATGGGGAAGAGATAGAAAAAAGACAAGCATGAACTTATCAATACGAAGAACATTGTATTCTGAAGTTAACAGAATGCGATGGAGATTGATCGGGAGAGACCCCACCAAGTACCAAAACGTGTTCGGTGATTCGGGCCCCGCGGTCCGGTAACTCGGGGAGTCGGTTATTCCCCACCTGAGGGAGCACCGGGCACCAGCTCCAATGAAGCCAGACGCCGCCACTCCTCTCACAGTGGAATGGCAGACACAAGGCAACTTGGCCTCACGCTCGATTGAGCGGACCGGCCCATAAAAAACCACGGCGCAAATTGTTCGGCAATGAAAAAGTTGTTTTTTCTTCCAACAAGTATCAAGCCAGGAACTCTGGAAGTGCGGGACGTACAAATTGCCATAGTTTGGAGTGTTGTTCCTCTTTGGATACTTGGTATACTTGATGTTCAAGGGAGACTGCTCCAAAAAGAAAGGACAAGGATGCACAAGCATGATCAAAGGAAATGTAGTGCTTAATTCCAAGAAGCAAACATGCACACCCCAATCATGGTAACACTTGCCCCGGAAGGTGCTGAGCACTGTGGCGCGTAAATCGACCAGTTGCTGGCAATCACCAACTACATTTGGCCACACCTGCAGGTAGAACACGCAAAACCCTGAAGAGACACCAGCTTTAGCATGGTAAACACCTACATCCAATGCATACACCACGAGCTTGTGCCATGAATCCATGAATGCCCATCCTCCGGATCCTTGATGAGCATAAGGTTCTGCTCTGGTGGCCCAGGCAAAACCTCGGGACTGCGTTTTGTGAGCGAACAATGAACAAGTCCAAAGGTTCTGAGGGGGAAATTCTTGAACCATTTCTTGCTGTTCAGCAGGGAATGATGAGGGAATGACCCTGAACCATCCCAGAAGTGGTTTCCTTAAGCGGCCGTGGCGACTACCTTCCCCGCTCATCTCAGGCTTTGTCTTGCTTAATGGCAACGGGAAACTACTGGAAAAACACTTTCTTTTGCGACCTCAGCTTTTGCTCCCAGCAGGATAACAAAACAACATGACAAATCTTAACACGTAAACTAAGTTCAGGATTCAACTTGGACCTGGTTTCACTGAACTGGCTTGGGGCTTCTCAGCCGCACCCCTTCACCGCATTTGCCCGGATCGAGGCTGCTACTCCCTGCAAAGGCTGCTGCGGCGGCACGTGGCTCGCGATCTCTGGGATCTTCTGCTCGCCCCTTGTCAGCACGTGCGCGTAGAAGGTCGCCTGGCCGGACTTTGGGATTTCAGCAGGGCATGTGCTTGCCATTCGAAGCTTGTGAGGCAGTACGTACCGGTATACCCTTTGTATACATTAGAACCTTAGCTTCAAAAGCCACACCAAAAAAAATGTGCCCTCGATTGGGCAACTGACGAGCCTCCGTGCCTGGAAGGTTTATCCGGAGGCGAAGAGGGCCAGCCGTCTAGGAATGCTTACCCATTGCACCAGGGTGACGATAGAGGTGGCTCAAACCAAAACGCATCTCTGCCATGGATTGCTCACTCACAGCCAAGAGTGGGCCATAAATCTCACTTCGTGAGTGCATGGGCCAAAACAGTCCCCATAAAAGTCAGAACTTTCTGTCAAGCCCACAAAGTGACTCTTGTGGCGGGACTCAGGGAGTAAGCGGGCGTGCAAATTGCCTTTGTTTTGAGGGTTGTCCTTTTTGGATACGTGCTATTCTTGACGTCAAAGGGACACCCCACCAAAAAAAAGGACACAAGGAAGCAACCCACTTGGCGTCTGCACAAGCATGGTGAAAGTGGAACTCAGGGGAGTCTTCTAAAAAACAAAACACTAAAAACAAACGGAAAGAAAGGGGAGGGGAAAACAAGAAACACCCAAAGCAAACAAAAACAACACCACAAGAAAGAAAAACACATCAAGCAACACAAGAAGAAGCCAACAAAAAAGACAACAAAGCCAAACACAGGGGGAAAAAACAAACAAACAAGCAAACAAAGTAAAAAGCCAAACACAGGGGGGAAACAAAAAAACGGAAACACCTCGCCTGCTGGCCGTAGGGGTTGGTGAACTCCACCGTGAAGTAGGAGGGCGAGGCGAAGGCCGAGGTCACCGCGAGCTGGGAGGTGTTGAAGCGGTCCATGCGCCGCGCCACCTCCTGCCGCTTCCGGTCCTGGGATCCCGAGCGGCCGAGGGCCGGTTTTGTTTTTGATCGAGCGTGTCGTCCGGTGACCCCCTTCCAAAACGGGGGGTGGTGGGTGGTCTGTGGGGGGGCGTCTTTTTTCTCCTGGGAACCCCCAAAAAAAGGGATCCCCGCCCAAAAAAAAAGAGATCCGCTTTTTTGGTGCTCATCCCCCCCGCCTTCCCGGGTTCGGGGGTGATGTTTCTTGAAGCCCAAGAAGGGAAACCGTTTTTTTTTGCGGAACCCCCCATCTCATGGGTGGTCTCTGGGAGTTGTTCTTGTAGCCCCGAAAAAGGGGGGATCCGTTTTTCCCCCAGCTGGAAGTGATTGGGGATATGCTGGGCTTATTTCTCCCTCCCCAGCCCCATGGGGTGGTTCGATCCCTTTAAACAAAATCTGTGTGGGGTTGTGTTTTGAGTTGGTACTTACCCTTTGAGGTTGGTTTAAAGGAAACCAAAAGGACACACATTTTGTTGACCGAGTTTTGCACGTACCGATCAGTCGGGGTACCCCGTCGCAAAAAAAAGAATGGCGACAAAGGATGACCCGTTTACCACTGGAACACAGCCCACTTTGGGATTGCTCTTAAGACAAACCTACATCGTAACTTGGGAAGTTTGCAAAGGCTTGCAACCGCCCGTGCGAATTCAACCTCAACGGCAGATCTCTGTTTTGGGACTAACATGTGGAGCCCAAGGTTGTATTGATCTTGAAAGAGCAAAGCAACCAACTGGGGCTGCAAGTCTGGTTGCTTCCCAGAAACATGTCGCATCGTTTGTTGTAATCCCATTGACCTGCCCCCAACCAAGCACAAGAATGCAACAAACTTGGTGCTTCAGGTGGCAAGGGTTGCCTTGTGGTTGCCATTCCGAAAGGAGTCCCATACGGGTCCCAAAGGTCACCCAAACATTGCGACATACCAAGGTTTCCTTGTGCTTCTTCTTGTCTGACCATCAAAACGCGGTATTCATATGGTTGTAATCCCGGAACCATGTAAAGAATTACCAAAGGCGGCCGCATTCATTTATGACAAGGCGATTCTCCCTTACTACCCTCCCCCAAACTATCATGGAAGCTTCCAGGTCCCTTTGATAATTAAGATTTGGTTCCATTTGCAGAGGCCTTCTGGGAGCTTCCATGTTCGTCTGAGGGAGTGTACCCCTCCAACTACCCGGGGTTTTGATGGTGACTCTTGTGGCTTGGCCTTCCTTGCAGCTTCCTTCGGGTGGTCTTGCCCCCCCCCGGCCTGCCGCAGCGACTCCGCGGCGGCGAGCATCGCCCCGTGCTGCGAGAGGCCATGATCCGCGTCCTGGTTGCGCTTTCCGCCCTCCGTTGAAAGCACTCCCAGTTCCTCCAGTAGAGAGCTTAGAATAAGAGTACCCTTTCTTCTGTAGGCTATTTTAGTAGGGGAACCCTCCCCCAAAAAAGGGTGAAAGGGCACCACTGGGCTACCCAGACCCAGAACATGTGCAGGGACTAAAGGATCACAGTTTCTAGAGGAGTGGTTACACCAAACCAACCAACCCGGAATAGTTTGGAGAACATTTCTGGGGCTTGGATCTTTCACTTTCGGCAGAGGTCGTAAAACAAGCTGCCCAGAATCGGAGGGTGTTATGGTTTTTCCCCAAGAGACTTGGACAAAAACTGGGTTGCTCTATCTGAAAAGAAGGTGGATCATCACCGTAGATTTGATGGAAAAGGCCTTTGGATTCGGTCACTGTTTCGCTGTCTCACTCTTCCATGAAATATGTAAAGCTGTTCATCTGTCAAACTGGCTTGCTTATCCTGCTGAAACTGCCAGCACTTGCGTTTCGAGTGTCCACGCTTGCCTCGACTCAACTCCCTTGCTGAGTGGATGGCCCAAAAAAAACACGTCCACTTGCTTTGTGCACACTAAAGTGGTCTTCCCAAAAAGTGCAAAGGGAGTGAACTCAGGAAGTGAGCCTGCCCGTCTTCAGTGTCCATGCTTGCCACACAAGGCAGCCTGGTCTCTCGGATTTCCAATGGCAGTTCCCAAGCCCCGCAAAGGCCTGGCGCAGCATGCGCAGCTGCCGGAGACGCTCGTGCTTCTGCTGGTTTAGCTCCTGCGCGCGTGCGGGTGCCACCCCTTGGGTGTAGGCTTACCTTTTCTCGAGGAGTCAGAAAGGTCCGGGGAAAACATCTGATTGAAAAGGACGCGTGAACATAATGGGGAATCAACCGAGAAAACAGGACATCGTGCGAAATGGAGTGGAACCTGGGCCGGCTGGCTCTATTTAATTCTTCAAGGGAAATCCCACGAAAACGCAAAGAGCGAAGGGGTTGGAACCCAGCGGCCTGACTGCCGCGGTGAGACGGTAGGCTCCAATAATTCCCAGGCTGGACACATAGCCATCGCAATCCTTATCACAACATATGAATCCACCGAGCGGAAAGCCGCACCTATCGACCAATAGGCCAAGCATAGAAGAAAGACAAACATGTGTTTTCTGCCAGGGCTGGAAACTGCCAGGATCATTGAGTTATTATTGGGGACTGTCCTTCAAAGGTATCCTTTATGAGCTTGTGAAACCTTGATTGTTTAAATACACGGTCTCAAGGCATTTGCTGCGTGCTGTTTCCGGCTAAGCTGTATTTGTTCGGTTTTGGGAGGGGCGACCCTTAAGACTCCAAGGAATTGAAGTCGCATGGACATTGGTAACAGCTTCTGCAATCCATACTTGTGTCTTTCAATTGCTAGACTTCCATTTGATTAAGCCCCCTGCAAGAAAGCAACAACATATACCCAATAGTGAAAGCAACAACATGTGCCCAATAGTGACAGATTCCCTTTAAATCCAACAGGGGGACGCAAAAAACATAAGCTTAAGCAAGTGGAAGTTGAGCTTCTGGAGCGAATAGTGGAGTCTTTCTTAGGGGGGTGGTGAGTGCCAAAGATAGAATCGTAAAGGACACCCCGGTTCAGCAACTCGCGGTGTGGTAGGGGGACCATTGGGTTCATACCAAGCCCCAGGACCCTTGAGGTAAATGAACATTTGTCACCTTACCCCCAATTGGTGTTTTGGATAGGTGGCTTGAGGATTTGAAGACGAGGTTCCTTAACCACCAAACCACCAATCCAAGCCACCCTTCATCTACTCAGATTTTGATTGTGGTTCACATCCCGGCGGCTTCCAAAGGGCAAAGCCAGGAGCCAAGAAGAAAACATGCCATACAGTACCGAGAGGGGCTAGATGGAGCCTCGTGGTTTCCCTGCTGGTTTTCCCTGAATCAACCCCCAAAAAGGGTACTCGCCAAAACAGCGCACCCAGATTGCTTTTCCCTCAATATCAGCCCCAGAACACAACCCCCATCCCCCCCTCCAAAAAAAAGGCGCACCTAATTGTCCCCCTACGCAAAGGACCAACCCCCCCCCCCCCCCCCGAAAAACTGCTGCGCCCAGACAACTTCCACGCCCCCCCCCCCGGGCCCTTCGGCCCGTGGCTCCTCCGCTAAGCCGCCCGACGCCCGATTCTCCGTGGCCAGCGCCGACACCTTGTGCCGGCTCTTGCGGGTGGGCGAGGAGCTCGGCGGCGGCGAGCCGGGCGCCTAGCCGCTTTCGTCTTGAAACCAGCGGCCAGGAAAAAGCCGCCCCCACAATAGGCTCTGCCTAAGCGCTTTGAACAACTTGCCCTTCGCAACTCGCCAGATTTACAAAGATCTATATATATATATATATATTTACTTATTTATTTTGTTTGGGGGGGATAACTATTTTAACACTATCAAGTTGAAGCCACATCAACCCGTGGCACCTCTGGTGGTGGCGGCGGCGGTTTGGTGAGCTCCTTGTAGGAGGTGGGCGGCTGGCCGCGATTCCTTGCTGGCCAAGCAGGAAAGACGCGCGTACACACACACACACACACATCTGGCTCAAATGTGTGGTAAGCTATTCAATACAGGAAGTATACTCTAACTCTGGCTCAAACATGCGCTGTCCAATTCTTGTGGCGTAACCTTGGCGCAGAAGCTCTTGACCCCGACCTGGCCGTCAAATCGTTCATGGTCACAAGCTCTGGCGACCATAATGAATGAGGCAGGCTGCCAAAGGAGCTTCATCGATTGTTACAAGGCGGTTAAAACAGATCTGCATTAACTCCTACCCCCCTCGAACTCCAAATGAACTACCTCCAGGGGAGGGGGGGGGGGGAAGGGGGGACTGGTTGCTGGCACGGGCTTGACCCTACCACAGCTCCGCTGCTTTCAGACTGCAGAAAATCATGAACGTCTGAGATAGAGGTGCAATACCTGGAGAAGCTTGATGTTGGCCCAGGCTCTTTGCCGGAGCCAATCCACATTTGCAGGCATATTTTTGAACCGAACTTTGGGCTCACTTTGGCCTTTTGCCCAAACCACAGAACCAGCAGTGAAACCTACCTGGTACCCGAGAGCAAACCTGACACATGCGGAAGCTAGCCAGAAACCTGCGCAACACAAGCCCCAAAAAGGACACCTTTCTGCCTAAACCGACCCTCAAACACAAGAGGCCCCGTAGCAAAACTCCAAAATCGCCACGGGTCATGACTCTTGCCCTCAAACTGTCCCGTTCTCCGACTCATTTTGGTGCGCTTGCTTTTCTTGCTTCTCAATTCCGGTGAGATCCCAGAGTGGATTTAATTAAAGCACATCTCTCTGCATTCCCAAAACCCATGCTCAGTTCCAACCCCATGTTCTAATCCAAGGTCTAACAACCATCTTTTCTCCGTCTGCGTGAAACATCAAAAGGGGGTCGCGGGTATAAGCGGTATGTTTTTCGGTGTCCGTTCTCCCCTTCATTTCGCTCCCGTGGTGAATTAAAAAGGCAAAAGGCACCGAGCGGCCATTTTTGGGCCCGCGATTGGAGAAACAGCCACACAAAAACACGGTTGCCTTTCGGCAACCAAAGTGACACGGATATCCCTCCAAATGGGGGAGCACCACCCCCACCAAAAGGTAACACCCAGCGAATCGGTTTTCGGAGCGGGTTTTGAGGTCAAGGCTCACCAGTAAGACCCGCAAGGTGCCGTTGGGCTCCCCGGTGAAGGGCTCCAACACCGCGAAGTCCTGTTCCGTCTTGGCCACCTGAGAGCTGCGAGCGCCTCAGGAGACGTCTTGTCTTGGGGGCAGGGGGCGGGCGGGTGGGGCGATGTGTTGGTTCAAACCAAAGCTAAGGGTGCCCACTTGTCGCACCACCCAAAGAAACCCTGGAATGAAGACTCCCCTGTAAACTCCAACAAGCAACTGTTTTTTTCTTCAAATCCACATTCATTTTGGGCAGGGCACCTGAGGAATTGGTGGGGGTTCTGACGGAAAAACACCGACCAGCTGACTGGTTGAAACAAGTTTTGGGGTGTTGGGTCACATGGTAAGAAGCAGTTGGGGTGGGTGCAGGGAGAATGTTTTGACAAACCCCCTGTGGTTTCCCTTGGGCAGCACTGGGCCTAAAATGGTGTGCCAACAAACTCCTTTTACACTCTCTTGGGGGGCCATCATCTTATTGACACTTTTTGTCCGCTTTCTTGAGGTCTAGTTGCCACCATTTGGCCACATGTCCAAAGCCCTTTCTGTAAAACAACCTCCTTGTCTTGGGCTGTTAGTTTAAGGGAATCCGCAAGCAAACCATTTTTATTTGGCCAACCCTGCAAAATCTCCAGAAAAAAGAAGAAGAAAAAAACAACGTCCCTTCTGCTTCGACAACGCAAGGCGGCCACCCTGCCTGGTGCCCTTGCCGCACCAAGGACTCCAGTGCCACCTCAGATCTCGATGGCCAACCCACGTCATGTCGTTGAAGTTCTGTTCTTTGTCTATGAGACTGTGGATGGTTGCGAAATCCAGAGATCGCACCGTCTAAGAAACCCTGGTTTCGGATGATTCTGCTGTAGATACCAACAAATTGTGGGTTCCCAGGGTTTCAAAGTGGAGCAGGATTTCGTCCATCCACAGAATGGGGTCGGGTTGTCTTTTTTAGCGTTCCCTCCTACTGAAGCCAAATGGTGAGTGTTCCTTTTGGAACAAAAAAAATACCCCCATGTACTCCCCTGCAAATCAACCATGATTAGAGTTAGGCCCAGTTCTAGAATGCATATTTTATCGTTTGCTTCACTTTGAGTCACTGGTAAAATGTAAGATGATCCCCGAAGGGGAGGGTTCCATGTTACTCACCTTGGCCAGGGCACTGAGGCAACGCCGATCTGCATCTCTGAGTCCGCGCTCCAAAGCTCCACCTCTCTAAGGCATCGGCGTTCCTTTGGTTTTCCTCCAGTAGAGAGGTTAGAACAAGGGTACCAACTTCTTTCTGTAGTCTATCCCTCCCCCAAAAAAGGTAAAAGGGCACTACTGGGGAACCCAGATTTTGGTTTTCCCTTGAAAGCGTCAAAGCATCGATAGGTGTTGATTGGTTTTCCCAGAAGGAGATTGGCTCCGTTTGGATTTCCCTTGAAACATGCAAGGAAGGATTGGCTCTCATTATCCCAAACGAGGCACCCTCAAGCGGCCAGCTTCAGGCGCCATTCAATTCGCAAGTCCAGTGAAGGTCTCCTGGTTCCAGCTGTAGAGGCTTCGGTCGTGGGAGCTACTGGGCTTAGAGCTGCTGGTTTTATCAAGATGCCCAAACACCACTCGTGATTTTGAGTAAGGGTAGGATCACGGACCTATAAACCAAAAAGAAGCATTCATGTTCCTTGCTTTATGGTAAGGCCATAACATGTGGACAGGGCATGGGCAAAAGCCCGACCCTTGCCAGCAACTGATCCTGGCTCTTGTGTCCAAGTCCTGGGGCTCTGGATCCGGGGCTCCGGAAAGAAATCTTGGGGCCTCTCTCAATGACCATGTGCCCCTCTCACCTTCTCTACGGGGAAGGCAACGGATTGATCCACGCGCCGAACGCCGGTGGAAAAGAAGCGCCTTCCCCTTCCAAAGCCTTACTGGCCATGGAGCCTTTCAATCGTCTAAGACAGAACCAACTTGCCGGAAGTATTTGAAGGAACTGTTCCGCCATATTTTTTCTCCGAGTTGTCAAAGTCACGTAGGTTTCAGGGAAAGCAATGCCTTCACGGGCACGGCAAATTTTGTTTGTCCCGGTTTTGTGGACATTGGGGAAGTCGCCCATTGCCCATGCCCCTCCATTTTCCCCAGACTGCTGGATCTGGGCAAACTACTATGACCATAAAACACACAGTAAATAGATAATCACCAAGCCTGCATTTGCTTAAGCCCCTGCTGGAAAAAAGCCAAGACATATGTATATGTATATGTCCAGTAGTGAAACCGATGCCCTTAAAAAAGAACAGGGGGAAACAATGTTTCAGCTCGAATGCAAGCATGCAAGCAGGTAAGAAAGCTTCCAAGCTGAATCATTGAGCTCCCAAACCCCGCTGATGAGGCCGCCACGTGCCCACACCCTCATGGGTTTTCGCTTGTGGATCCAGGGCTGGATTCGGGTTTTGTCTCAAAAGTCGGGGAAACCCGAAGAATGGTACGTGCTGACCTTCTTTTGTCTTTAAGCAACTCCAAACGGGCCACACAAAACGACACACCCAGCTTTGACCAACGGGTCCCACCATATCAGAAACCACTCGACTGCGCACACGTTTCTCCTCGACAGAACCTCCCCCAGCAGCCTCCACGGTGCGTGCGGAGAGGAACTCCACGAGGCGGCGGTGCACAAAGGCGGCGGACTTCGCCGTGGAGGCCACGGAGTAGCCGTCCGAGCTGTACACCGCCTGAGATCGCGCCGGCGAGCTGCGAGCGAGCGGAGGGGCGCTAGGGGGATGTGAAGGGGGGGGCTATGAAAAGGCGGAAGGTTCTCACAAAGCCGCGAGCCAAAAAGGGCACCCTGATTACCCCTTTCTGGCGGACAAAAGGATATGTGTCAAGATATGAGATTGCAAAAGAGGCTCACTGTGGAAGCTGAGTTTTGGGCATGTACTGCGGGCTATGCTTATGCTTGTGCGCATGATAGTTCGGCTTATGCTGCATTTGCCGATCCTGGGGGGTCTGATAAAAAAAAGACACCCCCCATATTAGTCACAACTGAATCTGTCCTGTTTTTTGGGGTACCTTTTGTTTGTGGCTTTTTAAGGGAAACCAGAAAGACAACCCGCTTAGTTGTTGAGGGTTCCGCTAAAAAAACACTCGAAGGCGACAAAGGCCCAACCTGAGTCACAATAAAAACCCGGTACTAAAATGGTCTACCCAAAACCATGTAAGGAATTAACAAGGCGGCCGCAGCTACTTATGGTTGGGATTGTCCCTTACCAGCCTTCATCTACCCGAATTTTGATTGTGGCGCAACTGGGATCGGCAGAGGCGCCGCCAGGCGCTCGTTGGTCACGCTGCTCCGCAGGAGGCTCGCCTCCCCAGCCTTCGCCGTCAGGGCGCAGGCGGCGGTCCTCAGCTCGGGGAAGAGGAAGAAACGGAGCTGGAAGTAGACGCGCTCGCCTGGGAACAAAAAGACTCGGCTGCTTTCTGCTCCCCTGCTAACAGTGAATGACTTGTAGTGGTTTAATACGGAAAACCCATTAGTTGGCTAAAAGTTAAAGTCCTAACATCCAAGCAAAATGCACCAAAGAACATAGGTACCCTCCTAACATGGAACCTGACCGATCCCAGGGTTGGTGGGTCGAACATACTGGTGCGAAATCCATTTCGCATTCAGAAACCCTGATTCGATTCCCCAACGCAAATACCAGCAAACATAGGTACCCTCCCGTCCGCAAACATGGAACCTGACTGCGGGATCCTCAAAAACGATGTTTCTTTAAAAGGGTTAAGTGTCAAACATACTGATGGTGGCGAAATCCTCTTAGGCAGCACGCTGGTGTCTGATTCGATACCCTAACGTAAACACCAACAAATAATGGTTGCAACCATGGTTTCAAAGTGGTGCAGGGTTTCGTCCATGCACAGTAGGTACCCTCCCGCAAGCATGGAACTTGTGTGATCCTGGAAGACTATATTCCTTTAAAAGTCACTCTTTGGTGGGTTCCATGTCAGTGGACAGGAGGGTACCCAAAATGGAACCCTGGTAAATGGAAAGGACTGAAACCTGTCGTTCTGTGGTGGCCTCAGGCTGGAACCAACCCAAAAAAAAGCTGACAATGTGGCGTCAGATATCAACTAGGTCCTCCGGTAGAGAGGTTAGAATAAGGGTACCAACCTTTTTTCTCCGTAGTCTATTTTAGTATGGGAACCCTGCCCGCCAAAAGGGCACTACTGGGGGACCTAGTCAACTTTGTCTTGTGTGCCACTTTTTCGGTCCAATGGTGCTCCAAAAAAAGACAAAGGAAGCCTTATGAAGGCGAAGATGACGACAGCCAGCCATTTTGTGACAACCTTGGAATTTTATGACTACAGACTCCCCTTCCTTTTCAGCCTCGTCCTGGTTGGTGAATTGGTAGCTTGGAGCATCCATACCATCCCTCCAAACTGCGCAATGATATGTTGGAACCTGGGTATTTGCTGCTTCGTCTGTCCGTATGTACTGCATCTTGGCTTCTTCTGCTTTCTTTCGCTTGCTTTCTTGGCTTTGGATCTTGGATTTCCCCCCGAGCTCTCCATGGGCCCTCCAATTGGCCCATGCCTCCCCGCCCTCCCCCCCCCGCCCGCCATGCCCCAAAAGGCCCGCGCCTGAGAGGTCGGAGAAGCTTCGGAAGCTCAGGAACTCCAGCGTGATCTCATCCCCCTGCAGGAGGTCCTGTGACGTCTTCCCAGCTGCTGGCTTCCCATGAAAACCCCCAGCCTCCCCGTCCCCCCCCCCCCAAAAAAAAAAATCACGTGGAACGGCCACCAGTTTGGTATGGTCCAGGTCTGTGAGCATGGGTCTATTTGTGTGGGTATGGATGATAAGTAAGCATGGGTATGAGGGGACAAACCCCAGTTGCACAGGTTGTACTCAAGGTTGCAACCTACTCAGGGGGTCCCAAACTGGTCGTCCATTCAATTAAAGTTCCTGACCAGCAAGCTCAAACATCTGTGGGAAGGGACCCATTCCTCCGCTCCTCATCCTCGAACTTCCACCGCAGCTCCCTCCTTTTGGGCACGCTCTCCCCTGGCGGCGCCGAGGGCGGCGCCGGCTGCGGCGGCGCCGTCGACGGGATCCGCGGCCCGGACGTCGCAACGGCCGGCACGCTGGCCAGCGCGGGAGCCGCAGCGGCCAGCAGATGGGCGCGGTCCAAGGCGCCCAATGGCCGCGACGCAGGCGCGGTGCCCACGGCTTGGCTCTTCTGAGGCGCCCCTTCGCCGATCAGATTGTCCTCAAGGGACAAAACGGGTGCGTCTCGGTCCCAGAATCCTGACTGGGATCGTTTTCCTTGAACGGGATACCACGAAAAAGGGCGCAGGTCCATTGCGGGCATCCTCCAAAACCAGAACCTGGGATCAACCTCAAATCGCTTTCAGCTGGTGTCCTCGAAGCCCAGGGGCGGTGGGTCACTCTGCACCGCCTGGTCCCGCAGGTAGATCTTCTCCACCACCGGTGCCGTAGCTGCAAGCCCCGCAGCTGGGCCCAGAGAGGCCGCGCCCGGGAAAACCTCGGGTGAACTGGACCAATCCGAACCGGGACCTTGGGTTCCCCAAACAAAAACACAAAAAAAAGACATTAGGGTGAATTGGTCCCCTCAAAAAAACAGTGACACCCATTTGGGCGGCTGAAAGATTTGGACCCCCCGAAATGGCGAAGTATCCTTCAAAGGTCTTCATTTCCAGCGCCGCAAAGGGCACCGACTCTAAAAGAAACATACCCAAATGAAACCAAAAGCAACCAGCCAGTTGTGGGAAACACACGCATCAGATTGACGGGCTGCGTAAAAAAGGTGCTCTCATGCTATCCTCAGCACCCCCAAGATGGTGGTTTCCTTTTTGGCCTGGTGGAGAAAGTAGCTCACTTCCTGAGTAGAGTTGCAAAAAGTCAGACATGTTTATTCACAGGTAAAATGGTCTTCCCTCCACGAACTCGGGGAGTGAGGCAATGATTGAATGGGTGGGAAATCCCATCAGCATGACCACTGTATCACTTTAGAGCGGATTCGCCTGGCAAGTATCACAAAAAGTGGCCCGTAAGCACAATTTCCACAAACATGGACCTTAAGGAAACGGCAAATTGTACATAATAAAAAGAATGGCAGGACTTAGAATGTTGGTTCCGCGTTGACCCGATTTCAGAGCTACGCAAAAATCGCCCCTTAATCTTGACAGCCAGCTGGATAGAGAGAAAGATGTGGGAAAGAGAACATAAATAAACATGTTAGTGTTTACATGTTCATCTTATCTAATCATGTTTGATATCTATCTTTTCAATGGTTAAGATCATCTGCAAATAACTGTCGGTTAACTGCCTCTTTCATCCTCCAAAATAAACTGGAAAGGAGAAAGAAAGCTAAACATCCTGATACTGATTTTCATGTGAATCCTTTTGTCTCATGCATTTCTTAGCTGTCAGATGACTGGAGATCCAGGGAAAGCCAACATTAAAAGATGGGAATTATCAGAGACAAACAGAAAGTTAAACACCAGAAGACTTCAACTTCCAAAAATCGAATCATGACCAATATTAGGACGGGAAATATAAAGACAATAATAAGTGGATTTCTTGGGACATCTCTTTCCCTTCCTTCTTTTCGAGTCCTTATCTTTGCTTGTTTCACCTATCCATTGGTAAAACTGCATGTAACATTAACTCCATCCAAAATGAACATACTACGTATGCATAGACTATCATCGACTACATACTACACAGTGCAAGTCGTATCAGTATACACTATTCAACATAGAGAGGATTACCGCACACACACACACACATGTATTGCACGCATAACTCCATGCGCTTGCTTTACTCACGGGTTGCAACCCGAGGGATCTGTCTGATCGCAGCCGCCAAGATATCGAGTCCCGCGCGGGAGCGGTTCCAGGAAAACGAGCCTGAGTCGCAGATTCACGAGCCTGACGCTATTTCTCTCATGGCGCAAAAAAAATCGGATGTGCCCTGTGTGCATTGCTTTTCAAAAGCAGTAGTCGGATATGCAACCGAAACAGAGAAGAGGTGTGGCTCAGGGGGAGAAAAAGGAAAGAGGCAACACATTTCAGCCTTCACCAGGGTTTCGCGCCGTGAGCTGTCAAACTTTGTGGATTCACATTGGCATCTCTCGTGTGGTCAGTCCAGTGGTCCGTTCAAACGCGTTCCATGAGACAAGCTACATCATGAGCAGCATCCAGCGTGGCAACAATTGCCAATGTGAATGTAGTCTGCGTGGGGATCATTGCATTTGACACGCCACGCCGCATCTGAAACCAACAGACCGGCAAAGTGCTGTCATGCCGGGGTCCCGGCATCTGGCAACTCCTGCAGTGTGGTTCTTGGCCCGAGATCACGGAAACAATGAGGTTGTCAGAAGTGAACTGGTGTTGACATATTAGTCAACCGCTCTCATGACTTTGGAATTGCCAAACAGGCTCAAAACAATTGCTGACACGACCGTTGACTTCAGGTCTCAAACATCAAATCAAGCTTGAGTCACCAAAGTGTTGATGATGCCGGTAGATTTCGGCGGACAAACATGTACTTCAATCATGCGGGCAGGGGGCACGGTGGAGGATAGTACTTGAACGGTACTTGAACGCTGAACATTTCCTTGCGCAAGGTACCCCGCTGGAAACTGCATAAACATGAATGCGGTCCACTCAGGAGGCCAAAAGGCTGGGACGATCGTCAGAATATCAGATAGCGGTATGGAGCCACTCAATTACGTGACACCCTCAACATCAATCACCCTAACCCCTGTTGACAGGGAGCGTTTCTCCATACTGCAACCAGCTTCAAACACAGGTGTGAAGACGCGCAGGGCCGGTCCTGACGCACCGTCGGCACAGCAACAGCTGCCTTGGGCAAGGTGGAAGTGAACGGCTGCCTCAGAGCGTAGCAGGGAACAGTTTCCCGGCTCCGCAAACCTTTGGGAGTTATCGTATGGGGGAAACCTCGCCGGGGGTTGGAATATGCCTGAAAGGATGGATAAGGAAACACGCCAGAAGCTGAAAGCTTGGATCATGCAAGCAATACCACCTACGACAAAATCCGTGGCACGCCAACCATATTGGCCATGCATTCTGCGAACGAGCGAATTCCTGGGCTCGAATACTTTGGAACCAAAAACCACACCGAGACCTACAGCCAATCAATCCCTGTGGCTCTAGAGCTCTAGGGATTCTCAGGAAACCTAGCGGCCATAGGGTTTAGGTCAGCCCCTCTGCGATTTCGTATGTCGGGGTTCACAAATTTCAAGCTACAACTCCATCACTACATCCTCCAGTAGTCTATTTTTCTGTAGTCTATTTTGGTACCTGCGAAGCCCATGTGTGCGAACAAAAATGCCTTCGAGCAAAACACACTAAATGTTGGTCGTTGTTCGGAAAAAAGATCGTTGTTTGGAAAGAAGGTCTGTTTTTGTGGAGCGGTGAGCTGGCTCATCTAAGATTTCCGGACTTTTCCGCCCTTTTCCGTCCGTTTCCGCCTTTGTTCCGGGTTTTGTCCGCCCTTGTTTGGCTGTCCAAGATGCACCAACGAAACTCCAAAAAAAGGTCGAAGTTTGGAAAAATGCCGTTTCATGAAAAAACCGTCTTTTCTCGAAAAGACTGAAAAAAGACACACAAAAGGCTTCACATGTAGGGAAACCCTCCCCCGAAAAAGGGTAAACGGGCACTACTGGGGGACCTAGATCGTGTTGCGCTTGGCTGTGACAGGCATTGGTCAAAGTCGATGCACCTGAACGGGCACACCTAATCATCAGGCTTACACCTGTCTCGTTAGAAAGCTCAACGCGTCTGGCAAAGCACAGCTGTAAGGCAATAGGCTCACTGTCTCATTGAACGAGGGGCCCTCTCCAAGAAGTGATCTCGACAAACATAGGGTTTAACCCAAAAGTAGGTCACGTTTAATATGGATATTCTGGTGTTCTGGTCGTCTTCCTCTGGAACAAAGCCCAACGTTCCAACATTGGCTTCATGTGCCCTCAACCACGCACATTTGGGCAGAATGCCCTTTGGTCTCAAACTAGGAGACCCCTTTCTTTGGTGGGGGTTTTAAAGGCAAACTAGAGGAAGCCGGCCCTCTTTGGGGGGTCACCTATTTTGACGCCCATTCCTCTCTGGCGACCAGAAGCCCAGCGAAATCCGAGGCGCAAAGGCTGCAACATAGACGGCTGCACTGGCCTCGGCGGACTGCGCGAGAGCCCAGTCAATGACCAAACCCCCGGATGGACTTCCATGCGAGAAAAAAAAAGGCGCACGACTCGTTTTGGTGGTTGTGCTCCATAACAGCTGGAAGAAAGGGCACCACTGGAGGTCTGGGATTGCATTTCTGGATACCCCCCAGCTCAAGGAGCAAAGGTAGCCAAACCTCAGAGCATGCCCAGTGGCCATGGGCAAAAACAAAAACATCCTTTTTAGGCTAGTTGAGTTTAAAGGGGAACCCTTCCCCCAAAAAGCTCTGGTGATATCCCCAACAGCATGCGGTGCTCTTTTTAGTGCTCGCACCACCTCGCAGCCCTCGAAGAACCTCGTGGAACCCTCATGGAACCCTACCTCAGGGCGCCACTGGGCAACTGGGTTGACTTTCCCTGGACTCAAGCGCCTTCTGCGGTCTGGGACTCGACACTCAGTCACTCAGGCGGCGACTGCGCAGGCATTGGGACCGGCTGCCGCGGCAACCTCAGCTTGCTGCGGTGAAATTCGAAGGCGCCCAGAGCACCTGGAAGTTAAAGGCTAACCCTTGAGTATGGACCAAATCAGGGAAACCCAAAAATTAAAAGGTCGGCTGTGGGCAAGTGAGAATTCGAAGGCGCCCCAGAGATTTGGAGTTACGCCGTGGTATTTCAACAACCAATCGTCGGTGGCTTAGCTCATTCATGTGAGCCACCGGTGACATGGCAAAGTATGGACATGTCCTAAATTCGGGCCAAAACACATTTGCCGATACATTCCCTTCTACTCAAGCAGCCCTTCTTGGTAGGGGTAAGAGGAACCCTGAGACGCCGCTCTGTTTTTTGCCAGGGCAAGGTGCGCCACAAACTAGCCATTCGCTAGCTTTTGCTTCAATGTGGTAAACAGATGGGTGGACCCCAAAGAATAGGGCACCGCCAAAGCACAACTAAATCTTCTACTTCGCCCACCGAGGGTGGAGGAGTGACAGGAAGCCCGGAAAACCAGAGGAACCTCCCTTGGGGAGGGGCTCTCCCTTTTGAAGCTCCATGTTGGAGAGTAAAGATCACCGCAAAGGGACACTTCCTGATTCATGGGCCCGGAAGGTGATGTCCTAAGCATGGCTGCGGGCAGGCCAAGCGGCATTGGCTGTAGTGTAGACGTGGACGGCTGGGTCATCGGCCTCGGGCGAAAAAACTAAAACCAAAAGCTGATCACTTTGCTGGTTCTACCCTCCCACCCTTTTCACATGGAACCTGACGTTCGGGGGTCCCTTTAAAAGAAAAACGGTCTTCCAGGACCCCCCTGTCACGTTCCATGTTAATCGATTGGTAGGAGGGTAAATGAATTGCGAACCACTCCTTACCTTGAGAACCTAGAGCCAGGCGTTTGTGAGACTAAGGCCGCGGCTGCTGTATCTCTGGTGGAGGCAGCGGAATATGCTGCCGCAACCACCTGAGAATGCGGACGATGCTTTGTCGCTCAGGATATTCCAACCGCTGTAAAACAACTTGCCATGCTCTTTCTTGATGGTGCCCTCTTAGGGTCGCTTTATACTGAAGCCGAAGGCTAGAGCGCCCAGGTGGGTGTGTTTCGATCGTGTTAATCTGTGGGTGTGCGTCTGTTCTTTTTGGGATACCCCTGTCTAGGTTGTTTTAAAGGGAACCCAAAAGGCAAAAAGCCATTTTGGGGCTCCGCTCTGAGACAAACCCATTTGAGGCAATCCCATGGGACCACTGTGTGTACGTGTCTAATAATACAAACTCCGGATCTAAGTGGAACATCTGGTTGATTTTTAGAGATGGGGGTTGTCCCCTTGTGGGGTTCAGACCACTTTTGGAAGGAATTTCCCTAGTAATAGGACGGGTTCTACTTCGATCCGGGGTCGGCAACCGGAGCCATTCGGCCACCTGAGCTGGCGGCTGCACGACCCGATCCCCGCACAGCTGGAAGCTGCCGCGGAGCCGGCTGGCCTTACGGAAGGAGGTGGTCGTGACACCAGTCAGCCAGCCAGCTAGCTAGCAAACCCAGCAAAACGCAAACAAACTCACAAGCAATCAAGCAAACAACCTAGCAGCAGGCATCAATAGCACAACTAGACTCTAAGTACCATAAGTTAACTACAATGCAAGGTGCAGGACAGAGGGGGGTCCTTGACCTTAAGAAGTTTCATCTTCCAGTGTTCTTCACGCCGCCAGGCACCACTGATCATGACTATGAGGTGGCCCGCCAAGCGGCTTGCACATGAGACCTTTAGCTACGATCATCGGCTCCTTGTAAATAGATGTGCTGAAGCTGCGTGGTGCCCGCCTCTCGATGACACATCTTGAGGGGAACTCTCACAATGCGTGTATATATTCCAAAAAGGCTGGGTCTATCTGCTGCTCTCTTCTTGTGGCTGCATGGACGAGGCATCCTATGTTCAAGAAACCAATGAATCAAGCAAACAAATCCAAACGTTCAAATAAGAGTGGAAAGAACCTATGGGTTTGCTGCTTTTTGAGGGTACCCCCGTTGCTTGGTGATTTTAATGGAACACCAAGGGAAAACCACATTTTTTTGGGGGTCTCCCAGAAAAGAGATACACCCATATGCGGTCCGAAGTTTCGAGCCATAAGTCTGGATGTCCAATTGCCGATGCTATCCATATCCTGGGATCTCCGTCTAGCACTGCAGGACGCACCGGGCGGCTGCCAATGTCCTCTGGCCTGAAGCAACTTGTGTGAGGCAGAGCACCCCTCAGTCGAATTCAAACCTGTTCCCGGAAAACAAGCGGACAGGCAAACCTATTTTGGTGTGAATTCAGCTAGGGACCCTTTGGTGGACGCATTTGGGTGATTCGTGTCTACCAACCACTGTTGGATCGGTGGTTCCAAGTCGAAAACTCATCTCTGGTTGGGACCTTCCCCTCTTCACCTTCACCGGGTTAGGATGCCTCATGCAGGGTCTGAGCTTTGCCAACCTCTTGAAGGACGTATGCTCAGCTTCCGGACTCGTACACAGCTACTTGCCAAGTATCTATCTTAAGATGATGTAACAGCGAGGGTCAAAAGTGCCCCGTTAACGTTCTGAGTCCTCCCCTGTTCACATGGTCAAAGGACAAGGAACAGTCTGGCAAAGAGTATCCTTGCTGATCAAGTATGCACCATGGGTGGCTTTGGACCCCACCGGCAAACGTCCAAACGTCCTCTTGTGCCCGAAAGGCCCGTGACGGTGGTTCACCTGCTGTTGTATTCCAACAACAACGTTGAATGAGTGGAGACGTTTTTGTCATTGATGAGCTGTAGTTACGGCAGCAGCAGCAACAGCAGCAGCAACAACATAATATGGCTGTGGGTCAAAAATAGGCACCCCAAATGGGACCCTGGTACGGGGAAACATGGACCAAAACCTGGTCCCCCGGTGGTTTAATTTTGACCCCATACCCATATCTATTATCCGAAACCAAAAAGCGCTGGCCCAAGGCAACTGACCCGCAAAGCGCCTTACCCATGCCTGCAGAAGGAAGGCCCCTCCAATGCCCAACAAAATAGGTGACAGGGACAGCTCTCCACAATGAAGGCCCCACATTGGTAACTTCTGGCAGATTTGTGAAGGGATAGTGTCTCTGTGCTAGTGGGGGGGAAGAGTCTCCTATCGACCTATCGGTTTGCGGGATCAATCGGCTCCTGTCCGAAGGCACGGGGCAAGGGCCGTGCCACCTTCCCTCCAATTGGTGGTTTTGATTCGTGGTTTGGCGGTTTGGTGGTTTGGTGGTTTGGTGGATTGGTGGTTTGGTGGTTTGGTGGTTTGGTGGTTTGTTTCCCTCGTTTCTTGGCTGGTTCGGCTTGGTGGTGTTTGGTGGTGGAAGGGTTTCCCATTCTCTCAAGCCAGCGGCTTTCATTTCCCCAATTCCTCGCCGAAGAACCCCCAATGGGCCCAAATCCAATTGCACCCGGATGCAACGCCAAAAAAAAACGGCAAATGCCTCAATGATCGGACCCTTTAAGAGGAGACCAAAAGAGGTTGTCTCAACAAAATGTTGCTTCAAACATGTGTCTGTGTGTCTGCGTGTCTCCGTGTATGCCTCCTTGTATCTCTGTGTTTGTGTCTGTGTATCTGTGTATCTGTGTCTCTGTGTCTCTGTGTGTCTGTGTGTCTGCGTTGCGTGTATGAGTCCCCCTGCGCCTGTGTGCATGTGCGCGATTTGTCTGCAAGGGACCCCCGTTTCAGGATGATTCAAAAGGGAATGCACGACGAAATCGCGCAACTTGCGGGGGTTGCCCATTTTGAGACATGGGCTTATCTCAAATCGGAAACCCCTTTTCAAATGTGTGCTTCCTGTTGGTTTCCCTGTAAATTCCAAGAGATCGCCGCTCCACACGCCCGTGTCGAAACAAGTTGGGCCTTCCAAACACGAGCGGTGCAGCGCGCCTGGTTGTAAGGCTTGTCTGCGCCGTGGTGGGCCACACCTTTCGGCGCCGCTTTAAAGCACAAAGGCCGCCCTGGGTCTTCGCTTCGTTCATCCCTTGCCAATAGTTAAAACTTTGGGTGGGACTGTGTATATATATATATATGGCCATATTATTTTTGGTTCACATATTATATCCCTCCAAACGCTAAAAGCCTAAAAGCCGAAAGGTATGGCCGGGAAGCGCCGAGAAATCACTGGCATCCCCTTGTCGTTTCCTGATGAACGTCAGTCGTCGAGCTTGGTTAGTTGGTGACAGGAAGAGATGAAGCACGGTGAAACCTGAATCTGACCTGAAACGATTGACCAAAGCAAAACAAACTCATTGGGCGTCTATGCAAATCGGAAGAAAGCATCCATTGGCAAGAAAGCAATTCAAGCACAGCCCTTATAAGGTGCCCGGCCACAGCCTTTGTGCGAAAAGATACACCCTTTGTTAACTTCCATTTGCTTAAGCCCCTTGGGGGAACAGCACAGAGTTCCAGTAGTGATATGAAAACAAAACAACATATTCTTAAGCAAATGCAACTTGATTGGTTAGGGGAAACACACACACATGTTCCGCAAAAATGAAGGTTAAGGATCTGACCAGTTGCAGCCAAGTCTTTCCGCTTGCCTCACTGATCTCTCGCGTGTCTTGTTTCGTTTACTCATACACAGCTATGGCCTAGACGAAAAGCCACCGTTCGCTCCCTCACTTGTTGAATGTGACCTCGAGTTCTGTCTACCAGTCATGCTGTGATTCTGGTCTGGCCGGTCCGGCCCATATTGGACATAATTGCGTCGATCACGTACTATATGCTGCAATTGCAATGTTCTGCGTCTGGCAATCTTCAGTGGTGGTCACTGTTTGAGACATTTCTCGCATCTTCCGCCTTTACAAGCCCAGATGCCATGCTTTCTATTGTTGGTGCTGGCATCCGTTTAGCTACGTTAGATACGAACCCATGCTTGGCAGTGGTCCACCATGTCTGGAGCACGACTATCAAAACTTGCAAAAGACGATAATGTTGACCCCATATTGATCATCCCCAGTTTACCAAAAGGGGGTTGTCCCTGACTTTAGTGGGCAATCATCACTTTCCCCCTAATAAACTGGGTTGATTCATATGGGGTCAACCTTACGACACACAGGGAATGACATCTCCAAGATGACAGATGACCTTGCGATGGCCCAAAGGCTGCCAAGCCACTCCCCTCCAGTGGCGCTATCCCGCCTCCTCCCCCAGCAGGGACAAGCCCGGCCCTGCGAAGAATTCCACGTCGAAGCTGAGAGAGGCGCCTATGCCGCTTCCCACCAGTGGATTTTCAGAGGAAAAACGCGCACCCTTCTTTGTTGGTTGATTTCAAAGGGAAGCCCCTCCAAAAAACAGGAAAGAAGGGCACAACTGGGTGACAGGGTGTTGTGTGTGCTTGCTGATATGTGGCGAACGGGTTTGGTTGGTTTGTTGATAAGTTGCCAAATGATTCCAACTTGTTTAGCAGCACCAAATGGGCAGTGGTCGCCAATCCCTGTGATCAGGAAAAAGGTTTAAAGCAGAAGGGTCTCTTAGCGTTTGAGGCTCTTGGGAGTCCTTCTTTGAGCACAGCGAACAAGTGGAATGGACAACCAAGGTGATTCTGTTTGGTTGATGGTGCTGTTATGGGCTGTCGGGGATACCTGGGCTTATTGTACAGTGGCCATGTGATGGTGAACTTTTCGTAGCCACCAGGGTGCTTGGGCTTGGGCCTTGTGCCGCAAAAGTTTGCTGTCATGGTGGGATGCCGCATCGTGACATCTGACCGCCCTCGACTTTTTTCTGGATTACATTTTCCCTGAAACGCAAAGGACGCAAACATTTTCTCCAAATACGAGTGTCGCCGTCCAGATTGTCTCAACCAAAACCAGGAAATCTGAGGCACTCGAGCGGAAGTGAAATTCAAAAGTCCCCAGTTCCCTGTGGCCTAAGCTTGGAATGACTGCGGTGCAGGCAACCGGAGATGAACCAAATGTGGACAGCGAGCTGTTTCCCCTAAATCTCTTGAACATCTCTCAACGACTTGCTGGTTCGAGCAAAGCATGAGAAATGGAATGCCCCCAACAAGAACCATTTTTTATATGGCTTCTTGTAGACTCCCATAGGTTCACTCCTAAACGGGCCATTCCCTAGCTGTCGCAGCAAGACGACCTAAGCTCCCGCGCGCTCCCCAGAGCTGGCGGCCGCTTTCAGGAGCTCCTGGCGGCCGAGTCAGAACTCGCCGTATCGCGTAGCATCACTTTAAGCAAAATGGGATCTCTACAGCAAAACAAGAGACCACAACACATGTGCCAGGGTCAAAACCATCTTAGTGTGGCCAATTGGGTCATGGTTCCCTGATCAGGAATCATGGTTGAGGATCCATACCAGGTGAAAATCACCCCAAAGCCCAATTCCAACCGGATAAAACTGCATTCGATAGAGGGGAAAAGAATGAGGTTTATCGTCCAGCCTGGGCCAGCTTGCCCTTCTTCCGTTGCGACAAACGAGCCTGGTGAATCCCAGCGCACAACACCAAGAGCCCCCAAAGTACAACTATTTTTGCTCTGAAACTTGCGGGCGCACAAGATGTTTCGGCCCGTTCGCATCTCTCGCCTCCCTCCGATCTCTCCAGTCGTCTCCAAACAGGACCCGTCGTGGTTGAATTCCTTGGGGGCTCCCTGAACACAGGGGCCCTCCAATTTTTCTTTCACCGCAAAAGAGCTGCTCTAGCAACCTACAAGCTAGGCGGACCGCCAGAACCCGCTCCTCACTTGTCGCGTGGTAGAAGGGCAACAGCAGCATCCAGCCCAGCGTCTGCTTGCGCCTGTAGCTTTAGGCACTCACTCGGAGCCCCCGATCCTTCACCCGGCACGCAGATTGTCAGCCATGGTCATCAATTGTTCCCAAGAGGGCATGGGAGAGTTAGCGAGTCCCCCACGTCCCTCCCAAATGGACCATAGGCTCCTGGAATGCTTGATCAAACCTCGAATGGGGCTCACAAGAAAAGGTGTCCTCCAAGAGTAACTGCCACTCTGGGCGGGTTCCAAAGCCCCTGTTGGCCAACGGGCGCGTAGTGAAACTCGCGACAAGCATCATCCAACAAACTGCGCATGAGCGGTAGCCAAACTTAACTCGGGCCCAACAGCGGGGATGACTGCTGTTTGGGTGTTGAAGCAATGGTGTGCCTAGGTCATCCAGTCTTTCCAGGATTCCACGTCTACTGAACAGTCAGATCTGCTTGGACACACCGCACAAAGAAATCAAGTCGCGCTCGGCGCTGCCCAAGCTGATGGTATCTGAATTCAACGGGTCATGACGAAACAATTGACGCCATGACACGATATCAGGCCAGAGCCAGTGACAGGCGTTCACTTTCAGAGCTCGTTCCAGAGTAATTTACACGTCAGCAAACCATCACCGGGTCACTAGCAAAACCTTTTCTTGGTTGCTGTTGACCCCCCTGCAAAAAGTTTAACTTTTTGGGGGTTTAGTGGAAAACCCCTTGATTTCCCACAAGTTAAAGTCTAAAGATCCAATCCAATAGCAGTCAAGTTCATAGGTCATCAACAAATAAGCAACATGTCCTCCAGTTCTCGGATGTCATCGTCCATCGCACATGTTCAGAGGTAGCAGGCACCTGTGAAGAAACTTTTCGCAGGGGCCTCTGGTGAGATTGCGAGGAGTGAAGCTCTTGAAGCTGAGCTGCTGCTGCACACAGTCGATTAAATTACCAAGGTCAAAGGCCTGCAACATAAATCCACCATACGAGCTATTTGGCTGTGGCTCAAAAACATGACATGGCACCTTGGTAAATAAAACCAAAGACTAAAACCTGCGTAACCCTAGCTCTTAAATTTTGAGCGTTCATTTAATGGGGCTTAATGAGGCCCAACGGAATGGGCATACTACCTAGTGATGAACCAGATCGAAAAGGCCTGTTGCGTGAGTTCCGTTTTCGGAGTGACTTTGTCGTGCTGAGTTTTTTGCTTCTTCTCACCTTTTTCTGGGGGGGAGGGGAGGCTGGCAGCCTAGCGTGTTGGTCAAGCAAGGAACACTCAGCGCATCAAGGCTCCAAGGCTGGCACACAACGCCCTGCTGCGCCTGCGTGCTGACAGCGTGTGGCAGGCGGGTCTTCATGTTCACCCCTAATTGATAACCCCCGCACTTAGACCCCCCCCAACAATGCTACCCTTGTTGCTGTGTGAAAGCTCTAATGAAGGAAACGCAAGAAGGCAACAAGGTGAAAAGATAAGAAAGTCTTGCAATGCAAAGTCCCTTTCCTGTGGCGACTCATTTATTCCAGGGGAAACCCTGAAAACTGAGGGCTTATCAACTCGGGGTCAACGTCACAACTTCTAGTTCAGGTAATATGAAAACCGCCGGTTGAAGGAGAGTTCGTTGAAGAGCAGAATGTCCGACTGCCAACTGGCAACTTGGGTTCCGTCCGCCGGGAGCAGCGTGTCGATCTTTCTGAAAGCCTTGAAACACGCTCAAGCCCCACGATTACGCCCTAATGAACTCTCAAAGGCATAAATGGTGACAAGCACTTTCGCGGAACCTGACGCCGTCCTCTGCATGTTGCGCAGCAAGCCCCAACTGCAACTTTAGATGCAAGCAAAAAACATGTTCCAAACCACATTGATTTGTATTGTCATACAATGCAACAGTTGGACCTTCAGGGCTGCACTTACCCACAGGGTTCAAGTGGGGGTAACAAGGCTTAGAAGGTACTTGGACCCTCTGGGTTACAGAAGCATCAGGGGGCAGCGAAGGTCAAGCATGCAAATCGAGAAACCCTGCGGAGAACGTTGGCCACTCGCCACTCGCGCTCAGAGCTCCGGTGCCTCGCATGAAGGACTGGCCCAAAAGGGAGCATGGCATCGGTAGACGACCCGGCGCTGAACGCCACCCAAGGGCCAGCACGACTGCAGTCAGCAGCTCGCACTGCTGGGTGCTGCACCGGGGCTTGGCATGACTTCAACATGGACTCGCTGACTTCCAGACAGCGAGGATCAATTCCGCTGCCATGAGAACCGCAGGTTCATGATCCAGCCAGGCGCCACCCCCAAAAGGGAAGACCATGTGAATGCTACCTCGGTAAGAAAGTACAAGAAAATACTCCCCCCCCCACGAAGGATATGCCACTGAAATTCACCTCCATATCTGACGAAGTGCTTGAGGGCACTCTGATTTCAAGAGGAAACCAACGATTTCCCCCTTGACACATACCCTTCCCATCTGAATGTCGCGCCTCTGCTCCCAGGAGCGGTGCTGTGGCCTCGCAAAGGCGAACCCATGCAGGCGCGCCTGTTGTATGTCAATTTGGCGCCGAAAACCCTGGCAGGGTCACACAAGATGCCCGAAAGGCAACTAAAGCAAAGCAACTTTATATAGTTTTCTATATTCTTGGGATTTAGTTTTGAGAGGCTCAAAGCAAATTGTTTGCCTTTTGAGACACACCCCACCGAGCTAGGCTGCGGGCAGTTGTCAGAGTGCTGATTGCCATTTGAAAGGTGTCAGTGTGAAACCAGCACGTGCCCCGCAGGTGGCAGTTTGGATAAAAGGGCTTCGCTGCTTCTACGGCATACCTGAACCCTTAATTACATGTGATTGCTTTGAAGTGGTTCAGAAGGGTGGTTGGGGCGGCCGGTCCGTTGCCGCAGCGCGTGGAGCAATTGTCCGGCTCGCCGTGGCTACTTGACAGTTGGTGTCTTCCCCCAAAACCATGTTTCTTGTAGTGGGCAAGCATTAGGATAAGCTTGGCGACTCTGAAACCATTGGCAGCGTCTGGTTGAAGGTTGAGGAAAGCAGTCGGACACCTTGATTAAGCAAGCAAGCAAGCAAGCAAGCAAGCAAGCAAGCAAGCAAACACGCAGGCAATCAAACATATGGGCCACCAACATTTGTTCAACAAACCCAACCATGCCTCTATGCCACCACATGCCATGAACAATTGCAAGAAGTGCTTAAAAGGTGTCCTTTAGTGTTTTCAGGGGTTGCCGATATTTTTTCTTCGAAGGGTTTCCTTTGGTATCCTTGCGATTTGCTTGCAGGTGTGCGACGACCAAATTCTCAAACAATTTGTGGTGCGGGCAGGTTCCGGCAGCCCTTTACCCCAGCACACCGCCTCGGTCGTAGCGCTGGGTGCTTGGACAAGCGCCACCAACTCCACCACAACAGCGCAGTCGGGGTGGCACCTTGCCACGGATCTGATACATTGGCGGCTGACAAATGGGGCTGTGTGTCTTGGAGGGTGCCCCTTAAAAATTCGGTTAAAAGGGACATCAAAACGACAGCCACCTATGGTGCCAAGCTGTCCGCTGACAATTGAGTCCGATGATATATATATATATATGAGCTGCAGCAGTTATTTGCTACATGGTTGAATGGCCGGGTGTTTTCCCACCTCGTTCACCGACCCACCCGTTTGGACACCTTGACCTCGTTTTCCACCCCGCTTGTGTTTGTGATCTCAACCTACAGGCCATGGCCCTACCTCAGTTTGGGGCTGTTCCTGTTTCGTTTTGCACCCGATTGTGTCACCAAACAAATGTGTCCGCCCGGCCTTGCTGTAGTCTTCCGTAGATTGAAGGCAGTCGCTCATATCAGGATTAGCTGGATACCAAGCAACTGGAATCGTGCTGTGCCAAACGGTCATGGAAAACAAAACTCCGCTAATAGTATGAGGGAACTGCCTGTGAGTTTCAGAGTGACTAGCGGATTTATCTAAGAATTCCGCATCTCAGGTGTGTCATTCGCCAGACTAAGCCTCTGCCCGAGTCAAAGAAGGCTTCAATCCTCCAGCTTTCGGTGAACGCTGCTCCCAAAACTGGCGGATAGTGTGGCAATCCACCAGCAGCCTACTGTGGATGGTTGCGAAGCCCATTTCGCATCCTCCATTTCGCAGCCCCAAAGAAACCCTGGAAGAATGATTCCCCTGTAAATACCCACAAACAATGGTCCCCATGGTTTCTTAGGTGGTGCGAACGGATTGCGTCCATCCAGTATGGCAACCGCTCCCTCGCGGTGTTTTGAGCGAAGCGCTGGGTGCCTGGCACGAACTCCAAGGGCACCTCTCCCCCGAACCAGTAGCGCTGGCCGTCCTCCTGGGAGCGGGAGGAGTAGCTCACCCGCTTTCAAAACACATCAAGCAGGCAGTCAGGGTATAACCCACTTCCCGAGTGGACGGCACAACAAGAGTCCAAACTTTTTGCACGCCACAAAAATGATCTACCCCGGGGGGGAAAGAGGTCCATGAACTCAGGAAGTGAGATCATGTTGGATCTGCTTTCAGATGACCCCCCATGTACATCAGCGATTATTCCTGGAAGTGCATTCCGTTGGGGTCCCGGCCTTTTGGCTTCGGCCAAACTTCAAAGAGATAGCCAGGGCCAGGGCTTCCTGAATGTGTTGTTTCAACCTGTGGGAATCCCCAGAAACATGCCCAACCCTTGCTGACCTTCGCCCCAGGGTTTGCTTATATGCCCCATTTAAAGACAGGTCCCACCCCACCCGAAGGAGGTAACTTTGACAAACCCCAAACTCAGCTTCCTTCCAATTGGTGGTTTGGATTGGTGGTTTGGTGGCTCTACCCTTCACCACCATGAGGGGGTTCAAATCCAAATCCAGACGACTAATTTCACAAACCTACAGGGGCTGGGGATCCGAATCCATAACTAATCCCTAACCCCAGCCCCACGAACCCCAAACCCAAAAAAGAGAAACCGACAGAAAAACCACATTTTTGCTGGGGTCCCCAGAAAAAAAAACAAAACAAAAACAGACCCATATCCATAGCCCCCCTGTCAGCTCCAGCTTCTCCATCTTGAGGCGCCAGGTCTGGCCCGACTCGTCCAGCGGGTAGTGGGCCGCCATCGCCTCTGAGAGTCCTTTGAAGCCGCCACAAGCGACGCCGCGACCGCCGACAAAGAAATCATAGTTTTCTCCGTAACCAGAACCACAAAAAAGGGACGTGGACCCGTTCAACGGGATTTTCAATCAGTGGTGTTTTGGGGGAAACTGGACAAACTAAGACATTGTCACTGCGATGTGTTATTGGTTTCCGCCTTTTTGGTGTTGGCGTTTGCAAAAGCAGCGCTCTCTATTCACGTTGCCCTTCCTTACGTCACCCATTTTCCAAGAATAACAGAAGACACGAGGCCGTAAGAGGACTCAGTCTTCCAACACCTTCTTGTCAGCTGCCAGGGTAACCAACGGATCGACAAGAGTTGGTAGCCCAAATTCAAGGTAACGAAATTGAAACTCACCAAGGGCAGGTTCCAAATACCTGCATATGCCTTGTAACCAAAATTGCTGGTTGCCTACTATACTGGTGACTTTCATCCGCTGGGAGCGACCAGCATTGGGGAATAGCTTGGTCCTGGGATGTGTTGTCACAAACGTTGGGGCTTTGAATTTGATTGCTGCAACGTCAGATCGTCGGTTGTCAAAACCGGTCGACATGATTCTCCTTGCAAGCTGGGATGTGGGCGGATACCTGTACTGAAAAGCAAGTCAAAGTGCAGGCGCCCCAAAGACAGGACTAATCCTGCTTCTGGCAGGTAGCCTTTGAAAGTTCGCTACGTACCAAAAATTGCAAACTGCGGTTGAATCATGAGACAAGTTGCAGCGGATAAGGGGAGACTGGGCTTGTGATTGGCGAAACATGGTGAAACACAGTCTTCCAGCAGCACTGGCGAGAACAGTGAACACACACACATACATAAATCACGCATCCGTCTACTCGAACTTCCTTGTGGTCAATCCTTATCACATGCCATACCATCTGTCCTTTCAGCGGCTCGTCGAGCCACCGCAAGGTGTTGTGAGAACCAACCTGCCACACAGTTCTCGGACAGACATTTATGCCCTGTGCCCGACTCCAAACATCGTCATGTCAAGCAGCCCGCACCATCCAGGCAGTCATGGGAGAATCTAGCAATACTAAACTTAGACTAGGCAATACTAAAGTAAGTTTTGGGAATCTGCGATTAAGTCTTTGAAATACCAAACTTAGACTCGGCAATACTAAACTAAGCACTGGCAGTCCAACACGAAGTGCTGGCAAGACTGAGCTGAGTACTGGCAATCCAACAGGAAGTGCTGGCAATACTAAACCTTAAGTATTGGCAATACTACTGCAATTCTTGGGTCATCCAAGCTCCCTGCCAGACCTTTGCAGAGGACCCCGAGCACTGTGTTGACTGTTCCGGGGGTGGGGTGGGGGATAGAACAAGGTCCCATAAGACCCTTGAAGGGATATGGTCCAAGGGTCTGCTGGTCCAACTGTTGCACAAAAGAAAGCGTGCGCTCGAAGCCAGCAAGCAGCTGTACTTTACAGTGGTACACCCATGGTTCGGAACAAGCACGCAACGGCTAGATTCTTCACCAAATCTTGCTCTACGCATGTATTTGTTGCTTTCATACAAAATGCCGTATTGCTTTTCGGCCTCAGGTCTCGAGATGGCAACAAGAGGAACATGAAACAGCACGAGACGAGACACAAACAACAAGCCAATTCCAACCCATCCCACAACCTAAACTAAAGGCCCCGGGTCGAAAAAGAAAAATAACGCGCCAGAACCGCGAGGGCTTGGATCTCCAGCAGTTGCCACGGAGCCGAGGCCACTGGCCTAGGAAGTTTTCGCTGGACATTGCGACGACCAACGGCACGGTATCCACAGACTGATCTGGGTGGGGGTACGTCCATATACTGATATGGCTACGAATTTGTTTAAGGTCTGTAACGCGCGACGCGCCACGAATCTTGTTACGGAGGTCTGTAACAGAGGTCCTTGTTGCGCAGGTCTGTAAATGTCTGTAACGGGAAAACAGTTCTTGGCAAGCAGTATCAGAAGCACAATGTAGCGCAGAACAACAAAGAGCAGCAGCTCCTGCTCGAGAGTCGTAGAGTACAAGCGCAGTATGCAAAGCACGCCTCCTAGCTTGAATTTTGCAACTGACGACGCAAAGCCACGCGATGGCTAAAAGGGGGGTCCCTGGCCCGGGCTGGGGTTGGGTCTGTAACAAGGTATGTAACGGCTATGTAACGAGGTCTGCAACGAGGCAAAGCAAATCGCAGTACGCAAAGCGCCTCCGCAGCTCCAGCTCGATTGCAAATCATTAAATCTCAACGCAAGCCAAGCTGCGGCAAAAAGGGGGATCGCTGGCCCGGGCTGGGGTAGGGTCTGTAACGAGGTATGTAACGGCTGTGTAACGAGGTGTGTAACGAGGCAAAGCAAAGCGCAGTACGCAAAGCACCTCCGCAGCACCAGCTTGATTGCAAATCTCAACGCAAGCCAAGTCGCGGCAAACAGGGTGTGTAACGAGGGGTGTGTGACGAGCCAGCGGGTCTTGTTACAGAGGTCTGTAACGAGGTCTGCAACGAATGTCCGCCGCGGCTCTGTTACAGACCCCTCAAAAGAATCACTGCCATATGGGTATGGGTCAACAATGCCAGAGAACAGCAGGTCTTAGACCATGTTTACACCTACCAGGGTTCCATGCTGGGAACCTATGCTTGGCCCACAGCTATTTTCAATTCAGCTGCAACTTGCCCCGTTTTGTTTTCCAACGACGGCATCTGAGGCCCATGGTTTGATCATCCTGCGGACAAGCGACAGGCGCCATCTACTTCACCCTTGTGCACATCGGGCCCTCTCAAACGTCGTTCTGATTTCCCGCTCATACCAACCTTAGGAAGGGTACTCCCACCAAAACACAACCACACACACAGCGACACCGGTGGTGTTCGTTTTTGGCTTACTGTTGCTGGTCATGATAACCATGTTTCAGGCAAGAACTAAGCCTGGGAAAACACATTGAACAAACCACATGAGAGAACGGAACAGCCCTGCACACGAAACAAACCATGTGAGTCTCTAACACGGGCATTTTCGGCAAGCTGTCCAAAAGGTTTGAGTAATCAGGCTCAGCGTATGGCTGACCTGCTTGTAAATCTGGAATGGATGAAACTTCAACAAGTTGAACGTTTACCAATCGCTGCTGATCGCATTGCTGATCGGCCGCTGGTGCCAACCAAGATATTCAGAGCGAATGCGGGCTCTCTTCCCTAATCTGGTAAGGTTGAAAATCACTCGATAACAGATGAGAGGCTTGCAGCATGCATCAACATGGCCGCAAAAACAGGTCCGAGCGCTGCGTTCCAAAGTATTTCACTGCCAATATGCCACTGGGCCACCGAATGTCCGTCAATGCCGCCATCTCATAAGACAACTACGCCGTGTTGAAATAGAGGCATGAGACAAACCCTGAACCATTGAACACCACTTCAATACACATGATATGATACATTTAAAAACATAATGGCTGCAAACAAGGCCACGGACAAAATAACCTTTGCCCCCTCAAGGACATGGGCCAACTGACCTGCTGTGCGAGAAAAAATCCGCCGACGCCAGTCGAGCGTGTAGATGGCAGTCCGCAACTTGGTCTTCCTTCGGATCTCTTATCAAAGCCGAAGCGTGCTAAAAATCTGCGTTTCGCCCAGGTCTCTGGGGGGGGGGGTTCCCTCGGACGCGCAGGATCTGCATCCCCAGCATCATCAGGATCGCCTTGCTGCCATGAATTTGTCTTCTTTTTTGCAGATACTAATGGTGTCTTGCTGTTTCAAGGGATGTTGGAATCTTAGGGCCAAGTGCAGTGATACGTTGAGGAACTGTTTCAATTCCCCAACTGTACGGAGCAGTTACTGCGAAACATCCCCTCGTGTTTTTGGAAGTCTATTTTTAGGGTATTTGAGGGGGGTTGCTAGTATCTGCTTTTGATGGTTGGTTTTGGGAACTATAAAAGTCTTTTTTTTGACATTTTTGTGGTCAGCCGGCTGCATTCCCAGCATTCCCGGCATCTCTGGTAGTTTCTGTGTTTGGTCAATTTTGCGTGTCTGAAAGTCTTGAAATTTTGGATGCGAAGATTGGGTCTGTTCCTGTACGTTGTGTGGTTGCATCCCTTGCATGTCCAGCATCCCCAGCATCACTTCCATGAAAAAAATGAAAAAGGTCTTAAAATCCCTTGCACCCCACTGGCGTCGGCGGATCGCGTAGCGATTTCAATAACCTTTGCCCCCTAAAGGACATGGGCCAACTGACCTGCTATGGGAAATGTGGGTGCGACCCCTGCGTTCTCCAAAAACTTACATTTGACCACCAGTACAGTAATCTTGTCGAAACTTGGGCACACCGCAGCACCTGAACAGCCGGGCACCCGCACACAGCCGACGCTGTCGTTCCCGGTGCCGCCGGCGCAGGCAAAGACCTGAGTTGCAGTAGCCGATATTCTTCTTTAATTACGCTTGCCAAGTTTGGTGTTTTCTCATAAACTTCCAATCTTGGCTTCTCCTGAGATCTGGTAGCCCCCTTTGACTCGGCTCTCTTCAGCTCTGCCAAAGCTCGTTACCGAACCAACGTCCCTTGCAGCCTCCCCTCCCTGAGCGCCGGTATCAACAGTGTACATAGGCCGCCTTCTGGGAAAATAGATTCATAGATGGCCCTGGTAGATGAAATAACCGGGCATCGATTCTTGTTCTACCAAAACAACCAAAGAGGACATCTATGGCGATGTCCCTCTTGATTCCGTTCAAAATGGGAGCGTCTTGTTTTAGGAACCGGACCCCAAATGGATTTTGTGTTTGTTTTGGGTTCCCATTGAAAGCACCAAAAAAACTGTAGCCTCAAAAAAGACACACCCAGAGGAGGCCCGAAAAGAGCACCATCCAAACATGACATGACCCATCCTGAATCGGACTGTGCTGCCTTGAAAGGCTGGGCTGCAGACCGGATGACATTGTCCAGCCAGCCCGAATCTGGGAAGGTCACCAATAAGCCTGGCTGAGTGAGGTGCTATGCTTAACCCAGGATGTAACCGTAGTTGTCAGCTGCAGTTGCCGCAGGTAAACAGTTATACCTTCTCACTTCCGAACGAGTGGATGGGCCAACAAAAAGCACCCGGACTTGTTATTTGCCACTAAAATGGTCTTCCCCACAAGTTTAAAGTCCAGGAACTCAGGGAGTGATCCATGGTCATGGCATACTTTAAGTGGGTGGATCATCGCGGTGCAAGCTTTCAAGCTAGCCGGTGCGTTGTATCCTCAAGTGCATGCGCCTCTGGCATATGGCAGTCAAACCGAGGGGCAGTGTTGGGCTGTCTTCGCAAATCAACATGAAACCATTCAAAGAAATGCCCGACTTCAGCCTTAAATGCCTCGAATGGGTCAACCCCCACAAGCCTTCAGGTTGGACCCCTGACAGCGGCAGAGGCGCCGTCGTAGATGTTTCTTATTTGGGAGCGTTGCGGTGTAAGGTCGGGAGAACTAAGTACGCATCTGGGTAAAAATCCGGGAATGTGGGAGAAGACTGCTAGAAGAGATGTAATTGCATGCCACAAGATTCTTACGCGGTCAAGCGCCTGAGTTTGAGAACAGGCACATTCCCACATGAGGACATTTTCCATCAGTCGATGAACATGGGACTTTGGTTGCCTAGTGAAGAGAAAAACACAGTCAACACAATCCAGATATTCACAGGCAAGGGTTCCTTGTGACTGGTCCAGCAAAAGAACTGGTTGCTTACACGTCAAACAATCCAAAACTTCAAACCGGAGTGTCCCATCCTCATTCAAAATTGGGAAACCCCCAAAACTGGTGGTTCTCCTTGCCGCACAAAAGAAACAAACACCTCCTCCTGTCTCCCGGCCTCGGACAAAGGTGTCTGGTGCCAGGACGTTGGGGCAGAGGTCCCCGTCCACTTGAAGCCCCGAGGCGTCCTTCGCCCATGCCGCGCCCTTGGGTTGACTGAGCTGTCCGTTTTCAGACCCCTCGCGAAAAGTGACTCACTTTTTGGGTGGGCGAAATGGAAAAACCAACCACTAAACACTCCACCAAGTTTATAGCACACGGAAAAAACGCAATTCGGATGTCGAGGGACGCCCCCCCCGCATGTTTTGCGCTTTTGAACAGCCAAGCTATCCAGGAAACACAACTAGTTGCGCCCAAACAGCACGAGCTACTTCAAGCATGCCAACTACCCTTGAATCCTGAAGCCACTACTATGAAATACCCCAAACAACTTTCAAACAACTAAACAGGCTGTTTTAGAAATGCAAAAAAAAAACAGAGCAAACAGGATGTTTGGCTCGGGGTATGCTCAGAAGGGCCGGTCAATACACTCCAGTTGGGGGGCAATTCATTTGAGTTAACTGCTTCGCCACCTCAAGCAGCCTTTGTAGGTACAAATGGGTGGGCCTAACGGCCACGAAGCGCCCAGCAATTCCCAAGGCTCCCAGTCTCACACCTCTCTTCGCGTCGCGCAAGCCTCGTGCTAGTCTTTCGAGTAGGTGTGATGGGCATTGGCGCTACAATCGCAGGGGCGGCACAGTCTTCCCGGCCTTGATACTGTGGATGGTTGCGAAATCCAGAGATCGCACCACCGCTCAGAAGCCCTGGAATGGTCTGATTGCCCGTGAATACCGACAGTTACAGAGGTTTCAACCATGGTGTCTCAGGTGGTGCAAACGGATCTCGCAATCCACAAGATGGGTCTACTTTTGCAACCCTCCCATCTTTGGCATGTCCTCTTTCCAAGGTTTGGGGTCTGGTCATGCTCCTCCAATGTTCCAAGGCACAGGTGTCTCACCTCAAGCATTCAACTAACCTGTGGTCCGGGAGCTCCCGGACAAGCCTTTAGCAACCTCCAGTAAACCCCCGCCCTGTCAAGCCCCCGAAAACTCTTGAAACATCAGGGGCCACTAACCAGCAACTGCCAAACCACTTAAGTACTAAGTACGCTTCACCCGTTTTCGTGGCCACCCGCAACTCGCAGCGACGCAGCAACGCAGCAAGTCCTCGGTCAGCTCTAGTCCACCCATGCGGATGGCTTCCGTGGCGGCCTGGGGCCAGACTGAACGCCTGTGGGGGATGGGCTCGCACCACTTTGAAACCATGGGACACCATTGTTTGTTGGAATTTACAGGGGAATCATCATTCCCGGGCGTCTTAGGTGGTGCGCAATGGATTTTGTTCATCCACAGTATGTTGGGCTATTTTTTCAGAATCATTCGATCGCAGGGAACTGGCCAAGATCTAAGCATCACCCATGTCAAATGTAAAACAAGGAGCGGGTGGGTCTTTTTAAGGGGCCCGCTGGTTGTAAAGGAACAGCAAAACGAAAACCATTTTGGGTGTTGGATTCCTCAATAAAGATACACTCGAACATGTTGGTACGGATACTGTTGGTGGAGCCATGCACCATTGGTGCCATGTCAGAGCTCTTCTTGCCTACCAACCGCTGTTTGACGTGTTGTTCTGGGAAACTAGCTTCCTGGCCAGCAGGGTCTGTTTTCGGCACCGATGTTCATGTGGGGTGTGCTTGGGCTTTGCGCACGGTTTAGAACCAACACTTTACAGTTGGCCGAGTGTTGCTCGAAGAAACTACAGTGTCATTTAGTAAATGGCCATCTCTCTCGCAATCCTTGCTCATGGTTTTTGTTCCTTCTGTTTTTTCCGGCAAGTGACTTCTAGCTATTCCCTTGGTTGGCTCCATGAAGGGCACAAACAAATCAGGCCCCCGGAAACGTTGGAAACGCCCGGGCCAAAAAGATCCAACCCGGAAAAAACAGACATCCAAACCGAAATCCCTCAATACAAAATCATTAGCATGCAGACCAAGGGGTCCACAAAACAGAGATTTATTTACAAATGATGATGGGTTAGGAGGCTCGCATTCATCTGCCGGAGAGCAACTGTGTTCATCGGGTTATCAGGACTAAAAGGATCTGCCCCATGATAGAAAACCCGAAACCGAACGCTCAAATTCATATGTGCTTTCTCCTACCTTTTGTCAACCCCATCACCAAGTAAGCGCCAAACAACCAATCTTAGAGGATCTACCTCATTGTTACAACAGGTAATAAAACGTGGTAGATTTAAAGGGCGACAACCTCAGTCAGCTTATGACTTTTGAAAACCCGCAGATTTCCCCGTACTTCATGAATCATCACCTGGAGCAAACTCGCTTGAAACTGCCCCAGATGTCGAAAACCCCTATAAGGAGTAGCTTGAGAACCGCCCACAAGTCACCAAGGTGCAACCATTGGAAGTGCTCTCACGGCAAACTCGGTTCTTTGAATAGGATGGTGCTGAGGCCGACAGGGGTCCCTCCAAGTCCTTTGGACCTTACGTGGCATGTTCAACCATTGCAACTTGCAAAACAGAGTGTTACCCAATCCGACTTTCCATCCTATTTGAAAACCGCAAAAGGGACCCCTTGTCCTTTCGCAACCCGAGGAATAAGGATTGCCTTTGATCAGCCCAGTCTAGGTGTGGGTCAAAATTTAACCGCCGGGGGACCGCAGGTGTTGGTCCTTTCCATGTGCCAGGGCAACCTATTTTGGGGTTACCCGACTTTTGACCACCGCCCGTATGCCCCAAGCCCTCATTCGCCTCTAGATCCTAGTGACGCATCCTGGCTTTGGGTACTGCATTGTTTACTATAATTCGAACACCTGAATTAAGATTTGGATCGACGAAAGGCTCACTTGCTGAGTGGATGGCCCAAAAACAGTCCCCAAACTTTCTATTTACCCTAAAATGGTCCAAGCCCAAAAAGTTTAAAGTTCATGGACTCAGGAAGCGAGAAGGACCTCCATGGCTAAGCGTCCCCCCGAATCCATGAGTCGATCCCTCGGGTCTCGTGTCGTTGAGGCGAAGGCGGGGAAGTCCAGTGGCAGCAGCCGGCGCGCAGCATCGTCCAGCGGCACAACCTGACGACGGACACCTCGAATCGCGAAGCGCGAATCAGGAGATTTGCATTGAGATGTGTATATGTATATATAATACATACATAGTATATGAACGTGTGTCTGTATGATATGTATACGACGTGTGTATGTGCATAACATACGTAAAAATGTATGTACATATATATATATATATATATATATATACAATATACATACATATACATATATATATATATGGTACCCCCCCCTGGAATACTCAGGTTTTTGGCAAGAAATTGACATTTTGGCTGTAAAAATGCATGCAAAACACACGTTCCAGCTTCTAAAAATGAGGCTCCAAAAATGCACTCCGTTTTAGACTTAAATTCTAGCATCGGTACTTAGGTCAAGATTGAAGATTGAAGATTCTGAGACCACTTGTTCTGGCAATCTTCAATCTATCCTTAGGACAAACTGATATGTGCTAGCATGTGCTAGCACATCCTGGATTGAAGATTGAAGATTGAAGATTCTCTGACAACTCTCTCTGGGATTCTTCAATCTTCAATCTTCAATCCAGGATGTGCTAGCACGTGCTAGCACATCAGTTTGTCCTAAGGATAGATTGAAGATTTCCAGAACAAGTGGCCTGAGAATCTTCAATGTTCAATCTTCAATCCAGGATGTGCTAGCACGTGCTAGCACATCCTGGATTGCCCTAAGTACATATTTGGATAATTTCAGAAAGAGTTGTCAGAGAATCTTCAATCTTCAGATCCTGGATTGCCCTAAGTGCGGATTTGAAGAATCTAAAAGGCAGACCGGGAGTGCACCTTGTCGGAATCAAATTGCGGATGTGCGCTTGCACTGCCTGCATGTGGCCAGGAAGAAAAATGTTGTTGACATCTTTACAGGTTTTTTGTGGACTTGAGGGCTGGCCAGGATGGAAGATTCTCAATAGACAATATAGTAGATCTTCAATCTTCAATGCAGGGGGCAAAACCTTGATGAGTCTAGCACAAACTGTCAAGTTTTTAGGGGACCAGGATTGAGGATGTTCTAAACATATGTTTGTGGAATCTTGTATGCTCGATCTTCGATCCAGGGCAACGCGATCTGAGCAAATGCAGAAAAACACGGCGTTTTACAGCATTTATGCCAAGAATAAGATCTATGATTGAACACGTTCCAAGCATTGGCTTGGCGCAGTTCTTGCTTGGTTCAAACCACATGGAGTTTGATAAGGACAATAGCCATCTTCTCCAGTTGATTTTTGAAATGCACAAGAAACTCCAAACGAGTGAACTTGAGTTTGGTTTGAACTCGAAAGCGTATTAAACTGGATATCCTTCCCTTGCTTGAATTTCAATACTTGTTATTGGCGATGATTGAACCAAGTTAGACAAGCAACTCACACACACATGGGATAGTTGCCTTGCAACATATGTTTTAAACAGACTGAACTATCATGTACATGGAATTCTGCACAACACTCGAGTTAACATGAAAATGCAACTGCGCAAGGACATGACGTAGCAATGAGTTCCTTTTCCCCAAGTTGATGATTTGCAGAATTTCGCTGCCAAACCGGGAGTGCACCTTGTCAGAGTCAAATTGTGGATGTGCGCTTGCACTGCCTGCATTTGGCCAGGAAGAAAAAATGTTGTTGACATCTTTACAGGTTTTTTGTGGACTTGAGGGCTGGCCAGGATGGAAGATTCTCTATAGAAAATATAGTAGATCTTCAATCTTCAATGCAGGGGGCAAAACCTTGATGAGTCTAGCACAAACTGTCAAGTTTTTAGGGGACCAGGATTGAGGATGTTCTAAACATATGTTTGTGGCATCTTGTATACTCGATCTTCGATCCAGGGCAACGCGATCTGAGCAAATGCAGAAAAACACGGCGTTTTACAGCATTTATGCCAAGAATAGGATCTATGATTGAAAGCACGTTCCAGGCATTGGCTTGGCTCAGTTCTTGCTGGCTCAACCACATGGAGTTCGATAAGGACAATAGCCATCTTTCTCCAGTTGATTTTTGAAATGCGCAAGAAACTCCAAACGAGTAAACTTGAATTTGGCTTGAACTCGAAAGCGTTTTAAGCTGGATATCCTTCCCTTGCTTGAATTTCAATACTTGTTATTGGCGATGATTGAACCAAGTTAGACTAGCAACACGCACACACACACATGGGATAGTTGCTTTGCAACATATGTTTCAAACAGACTGAACTATCATGTACATGGAATTCTGCGCAACACTCGAGTTAACATGAAAATGCAATTGCGCAAGGACATGAAGTAGGAATGAGTTCCTTTTCCCCAAGTTGATGATTTGCTGAAATTCGCTGCCAAACAAAAATAAGAAACACACAATAGTAGAGCTGCTACTGGCGCGTTGAGGCTGCCAAAACGCACTATTCTTGTACTGGACAGTTGTGTTTTTTGAGCTGGAGCTGCCAACGTGAGCTTTGCATACTCCAATGTGACTTTAAGTGCACTTCGCGCACGCCAATGTGACGGTCACACAACTCCTTCAACGTTGAGCTTAAGTTCTGCTTGGTTGGAATTTGCATGGAGTTGAGCGTCCAGTCAGTTCATTTCAGAGTCGCAAAGAATTTGTCACCCCCTGTCTGGCCAAAAAACCTCAGTTCTGGCCAAAAACCTGAGTATTTCAAGGGGGGGGTAGCATATATATATATATATATACAGGTATATATATATATGCATATGGGTTTTGTTCAAAATCAAAGTTCCTGGAAACGGCCCTTTCGCCGGCCTTTCGCGGTCCTTTCGCGGCCCCATGTTTTCCTTTTGCGGTGACAAACCAGTCCTGAAAAACTTGTTTCCGAGCCCAAACGAGGGTTCTACCATGTATTCGTTATGTTTCAAGTCCTTTCGCGTTCCTTTCGCCGGCCTTTCGCGATGCAGTGTTGTCCTTTCGCGCTAGACCTTCAGAACCTCCCTTTACTTAATTTTAAGACTGGCAATTTAGAACGACTCCCAGATATAAAGTTTGTGTATATTGTGTACTTTAACATATCCATATATATATATATATATATATTAGTCAGTGAGCACCAGACTTGAAACAAACACCCATACCTGGAGCTTGTTTTAATGGGAGCCTTGATGTGCCAGGGGAACTCCTTGCCAGACTCTACCCGCACCCTCCTCCCCCCTGCGTACCTGCAAATCGGTCTCAATGAAGGGCTGCTGCTTTCCGGCCGGAACCTGCCCCACTGGTTTGGCCGGCCACATCTGTCCGTGTGAACATGCCGGTGGGGCACGATTTTTGCACGAGCTGGGTAAAGCTGGGCGGCTTCAGGGGCAATGCTTCTGAGGCTCCATGCGGTCTGGCACAAATGGATCACACGTGTCGGGCTTGTACGTCACGCACAGACCAGTTGCCTGGGGGCGTTGGAATCTCGAGGTTCGATATCCACAAGCCAATCATGGCTTGTGTACATCATGCGTGTGTGTGACAAAATCGGGGAGAGTCGTTCGGATTTCGGAACCACTTCAAGAAGAAACATGCCCCAAACGACTGAGACGGGTGACCCCTGCTCCAAAACGAGTGATTGATACACGGCCCAGGCACCAGCAGGACTTTCTCGGGGCGGCCGGGGCACCTTGGGGTGCGCCAGCAGCTGGTTCAGCTGCAAGTCCACGAAACCACTGCTGGCGCCTCTCGGAAGACGTGTGAAGCGTCAATCCGCAAGAAGCTCCCCAATACTCTTTGCCCCTTGCCATTTCAATTATGTGTTTCTCCAGATGAACACTGGAAGCCATCCCTCAACCTGAACTATACGGCTTTCTGGGTCGCACAACTTGCAAGCTCACCATGGGCTTGTCAAACCCGAAAAAACGATGGGTGTAACACAAACGGCTTAAGCAAAAAAAAAGGTTCAACGAAATGCATACGTCTCGTGACAAGAGTAAATTCGAGAGAGTCCCCCGAATTTTCGGCGCCTTTCTGGCGGTATGGCCAATACACTGCCCTGAAAACCCCGACACAAGGGTAGGGTTGGTCCTGGTAAAGGGAAGCCAAGGACGGCGTTCACCAAATCTCAGGCCTGTCGTTTTTCTGCACGATGATTCCACGTTTGGGACTGAAATTGGGGACCTGCGTGGTGAGCTCGTGTTGCTCCATAGGCTTGGAGCAGATCTTTTAGGCACGCCTCGGCTTCTTTCGGAAGCGGAAAAGTGAAAAACAAACAAGAAGCGAAGCTCACATCCCGAGCGGCTCGTCCAAAAAAGTCCAGGAACTGTTTATTGGCCACTACAATATGGTCCAAGCGCGAAAACCTCTTGTGTGCGCGGTTTACTCTGGCCCAGGGCGAGACCACAGCAACCAAGAACTTGGGGAGTGAGGAGTGATCCCCCCGGAGTTCGTCTCAGACGGTCAGAAGGTCGTTTTCTTCCATTTATGTTTTCGCCCCCGGGAAAAACTGAAAATATGTCCAGCAGTGAAATCCACTCCCTGTAAAACGAACAGTACCAAAAAAAGATCTTAAGCAAACGGAAGAACCAAGTCATGTCCCAGCCTGACCCCAGGTTCACTTTTAAAAGGGGATGGATCAAAAATTGTCCTCTGTTAGATTCCCTGTAAAACCAACTGGGGAAATAACACATCTTCCTGAGCAAATGGGGCACTACTGGGGGACCTTGCCTTCAAAACCAGGGGAAAATAAAAAATATCTTGCGCACACGGAAGTCTTATCAGCCGCGCCTTGGAGGTGATCCCGGAGCTTGCCGGGCCGCAGCTTGCCCCGCTGACTTCTGCGGCTCTCCGTGGCCAGGTCGAAACCTCGACGTCCGGCGCGCCAAGCCGAAGCCGAAGCCACGGCCGCCCGAGGTTCGGGTCGAAAGAAACACGGGGTCGTGTTTAAAGGGGTAGAAGGGGTTGGAATCCAGGGTGTCATTTTTCAAGCGGTTCCCCCCCCTGAAAAAATATATGGTGGTTTTCTTTCTGGTGTCCCGTGAAAACCAAACAATACGGGTACCTCACCCCACAATGTGGCATGGGAACCACCACGGATTCTCTGATCCAAGGCACGATGCCCGGGCCGGCTGAGACCCCTTTGAACCCCCAAAAGCCGAATCTCCGGAACCATTGCTCCAAACCACTGAGCCGATATCGAGACCCAAAGCTTTCAGGGGAAACACCATGGAACATTCACGGGCGCTTCTCGCATTCGGAATCGTCTAGCCAAAAGATGGGCCAAACCCGAAACAGGCAAACACAATCAAACATAAGCACATCACGCACCGACTTGACCACTTCCCTGCGCTTTCTAAGTTGTGTTTGGATGCGTTTGGATTCCCAGTTACAAAGGGTTGACCCGTAAGGTTCCACGAGGGTTCCACCAGGGTTCCACGATTCCACGAGGTTCTGCGAGGGCTGCGGGGTGGTGCGAGCACTAAAAGAGCACCGCCTGCTGTTGGGGATATCACCTGAGCTTGTTCAGGCTGTGCCCCGTACTTGGGGTATTATAACCATGGTTGTCAGGAACTAACGTCGAAAACTAACATACCTGATGACTTACAATGATATAATAGGGGAAACTAGTTCCCCTTATACCCATGGCGATGATCTACTTTTCAAATTAACGTAACCTCCAAGCCTGCAGTTTTTCACCGAACTCGGGGTTCTTAACATCACATCGTTCCACCTCACGAAGCGAGGCCCTTTTGGAAGAGCAACCTGCTCATGGGATGCCCTAAGCTTTAGTTCAAACTGACCGTGCCGCCTTAACACGTGAAAGCTTCCAGTCCAATGTGCGCGAAGCCTATTGCTGAGGCCCCGGGCTCAGCACCGCCCAGCCCAGCACCGCCTCCGGCTCTGCGTCCCCGAACAACGGCCCCGGGTACTTCGCCGCCAGCGGCGGCCAGGAGGACTCCGCGCGCCCGCCGGGCGGCGCGGCCAAGGGCTTGAAGCCGCGCTGGTCCAGGGCCATCACCTCCCCTGGCGATGGATGCAGCTGGTCTCATCCGAAAAAAAGAGAAAAAACAAAACGAGAAACAAAAAGAAAAGAAGGAAAAAAGGACCTCCCCCCAAAAAAAAACAACAACAGGGGGAGCCCTTGGGGCAATGGTAAACTCTCTCCCAAAAAAACGTGGGGGAGGGGGGTCTTCAACAACAATCGGGATCCCCACCAAAATGACCTCTTGAAGGCCTGGGTTCATAGTTGTCTTTCAAAGGAAAACACATTACAGGGAGCATCCCCCCTAATTCTCGGACCACTTCAAGTGGGCCAAACAAACACATAAAACCTGGCGCAAAGCACGCGTGCCTAGTGAAACGGCCGAGCGAAGTCTGCTTTGGGCGCTCCATCGGTCAGACGGAATTCGCCAATCTCCAAGTTTAGGTGACTCACTCATGGGAGGGGAGGGGAGGGGAGGGAGCCCAAATCAGCCCCAAGGGCTTAATAGGGGCTTAAGGCGGCTCCTTCCCCCTCCCCTCCCTCCCCCCCCCCCGTGACAAACAGCCGCCACCAAGGAGGCCAATATAGGAAACCTACAACCCAGCAACGGTTCTTCTTAGAATCTTAGAAGGGCTTCTGATCGAAGGGTCTGAGAACCATTCTGGTGCAACCAAGGAAGTGGACGGGGAAGGGGTTCTGCGCTTTGCTGCCTACCCTCGTCTTGACGAGGCTTCTGGTCCACTTCCATTGAAAAAAGGGGGTAGCCCGCCCATGACGCTTCATCTCCAGGAATTCCTGGAGCAGCACGTCCCTCGCGCCTGGACTTTGTTGGGGGGCTCCACCTGTGAGCCGGTGAGTGAATTGGCACGTGAGGGATATCGGCGACCTTGTTGGGTGCGTTGCACGATGACTTTCTCGGTGATTTGTCCGTGTTTTCTAGCTCGTGTGGCCCGTTTAGCCCGTTTATGCCAAATTGGCCGAACACATGCTCAATCTGGCAACGCGTCTTTTACGTCTAAAATGACGAATGATCAATAGAATGTGCTCGCAAGGATGCACAGCGGTTGCGAGATATTGCGCTCTAGAAGCGGGAATTCGGCTCAAATGCAAATAGTACGGGCACTCCAAATAATTAAATTGCGCCGCCGATGTTGGCAAAACAAATGCTTACTGCTTGCAAACGTACGTCCAACTGCCGCTCGTTTTGAGCACAATGTGCTTGTTTCAGAAGTTTGTACGAACAGGGGGGGAACTAGAACAACGCGTATCTGACACGTCCAGGTACTGTTGTTCATGAGCAACGGCACACAGCAGAAAGCGCTCGGGGAATGCTCCGCACCTTGCCTCCCACAAACGAACACAGATCCCATCGCTGGCTTGCGACTGAGAATAGGGGCCTGAAGCTGCATCTTCCGGCGGAGTCAGGTTCATGCTTTGATATCGGAAGCATAACCCAAGTACTGTCGGTCTCAAAACATGACTAGAGGGATTCGTGGAAATGTTATTTGACAAGCCACCCCAGCAAGGCTGCCTGACACATCGTAGGACATACCCCGACGTGCAAGCCAGTGACATGGGGTAGAGGCTCGCAAACTGCAGACCTTCCCGAACCAAGACAAACAGTCTTGAATTTCGAGCCATTTTACATGGCAAACAAGCTTTGGGTTTGTTCATGGACTGTGTATTTTCAGCAAATCTAGCTTTATCTAAGTCTGCACTGGATGCCAGCCATTATTATAGTTAACTAGCCATTTCTCCCTTAGCTTTTGAAGGGCGGTGCCGTTGATTAATCACTCAGGTGGGTATGGATCAAAATGAAACCACTAGGGGCCACAGCTTTTAGCCCTTTCCATTTACCACGGCAGCCCATTTTGGGCCATTGGGGTTGCCCTCTGTTTGACCACCTCACCCGTCTACCCTCCCACCAATTAACATGGAACCTGACGTTCGGGGCCCGGTCCATTTAAAAGGAAAATGGTCCCAACCAGGACCCGCCAAACGTCAGGCTCCATGATAATCTTGCTGGTGCTCAGCAGGGAACAATGGAATGAACCTAGGCGTTCCCTTAAAAAAAAAAAAACAGAGGGCATGGTTTTGCTCGTTGTCATTCCATTTCTCTTTTCCCGCTGAGAACCGAGCGTGTAGAACTGGGAGGGTAGATGGACTCACCGAGGCGACTCCAGACGCCCCCTGCCTGGCGCTGCGTTCGCCTTGGCTTTGGGCTTCGGCTTCGGCTTCGGCTTCGGAGCTGCCTTGGCCTTAGGCTTCGCCTTCGCTTTGGGCGAGATTTGCCAAATCCTGGCGCAGAAGACATCCCAGCCGCTGGGTGTTTCATGTTCCTTTTCTTTTTGGGGGGGGGTCCAAAAAGACCAAAGGCGAAACTTCTTGGTCCAGCCTCAAATGGTGGTTTAACTTGCCCGGAACGCCAACGCTGAGCATCCCAATCAAATTAAAGCACAGGCTGCGGACATGCAGTGCTTCATATAAGCATCTTACGTTCCAACCACTTGTCCCGGTGCAGCCTCCCTTTCAAGTGGCTGATCAGTTTGACCCAAGCTGCCAAATGAATCCAAACAAGGCGCTTTGACCACGTTTGCATCCTCAAGACCACAACCCATCTTTGATTCTGGTCCATATTCAGTAAGCTTCAAGACCTGAAATAAAAATGTCAATCGAGATCCAAAAAAACTCGCCAAACGCATGACCTGTTCTGAAGCACACACACATATACACCGCCTCTGCACCTCAGATTAATATTAAACAAATCATCCCCTTCTAGCGGGAATCCTGGGTTGCCAACTTCGATTGAAAGTGCTTTGAAGGAATATAGGTGAACTATATATATATATATATATATTGTCTTTTTGGCCCCCCCCCCCCCCTCGAAACTGTGGCGTTCCTTTGGTTTCCCTTTAAAAAGCACAAAAGCAGGGACACCCTCAAGAAAGACACATCCCCATTGGCAATTAAAGTAAGGGATCCCAAAGGATGTCGCTATAAGTTGCCCATCTTCAGGCAAACGTCCCAAAAACGATCTGACAGGCATCTCTCCTAATACTTCAACCCCCAGGTTTGTGGTGTGCAACGTGCGCGCCACTTGTGTTAGCACCAACATGGAACACAGGCCAAGAACGTTTGTTTTTGAAAGCGTGGGGCTGTTCGCCAAAACGATGGTGGTTGGCGAACGCCAAAGAACATTGAAGGACGCCACAAAGCTGTCACGGTCTTGTTTCCATGGACTTCTCTCGCAGCATCCTTGAATGATGTCTAGAGCAAATACAAACCGCAACTCAGCGGATGTCTGCATGTTCGTGCTCTGAGTGTTCAATAGCCCACTCCTTTTCACTAGAATCACATTTCCTGTGCCAAGCAGGCGTGCCAAATTGTAGCCTTTGCCACAATGGTCAATACAGTTCAACTCTGCTATGTGCCTGATCATTTTGCAACTGGGCTCCCTAGCTTCAGTACAAGGCCTAGTCTTGACGACTAGAACGGGGACTAAGCAAGGGTGCTCCAAAGACCTAAGCAAAGGGAAAGAAGCGGAGACCGCATCTGAAGCGACGTCAGTTCAAGTCCCGATCTCTGCTTGGCTCGGAATTCGAATGGTTCTAGCGATAAGTATAGTCCAAATTCACATCTTTCACTTGCTTGGAATTAGGGACGTCCAAAGGCAAGGACCTTCATGGCTGAAGGTTTGCCTCCTTAGTGCGATTGCCGGCTTTCTCCCAAAACTAAATAGGCCGTCTCTCTTTCAAGCCACAGCAGCCCCGGTCCTGTTCACCGGAGGCGACCCAGGAGCAGTCTGTTTTGGAGGATCCTGACAAGCGCCCGAAACTACACCGCATGACTGCTCTCATTCGAGAGATGTGTACATACCAAAAACACCGCCAAACATAGATTCTTGTTGGTCGATTGGGCAATCGGAAGAAACGCCATCCACTATGTGTTGGTTGATTCCAATGCAAAGTCCGCCCAAAAGGTCAGCCCTTCAAAAAGCCCGTTGCACGCTGGCTTAGCTTTGGGGTTCCAGAAAAGTCCCCACTACGAGGCGACACTATTCATGGGGTAATCCCCAGAAATGGCTGTGGGTCAAAACCCTGTACCCCTGGTGAACATCAACGAAATTGTGGCAAACGGATGTTCATCCACCCCCAAAATGCCGCCATAGGTTTTGCCTCATGGCCAATTGTTTTGGAAAAAGGACGAAATCCTCCACCAGGCGGCGCGATTCATCTCTCAGGATCCCATCCTCGAAGGCCAAGACTTCTGCCAGCAGCTGCAGTTCTTTGCCTCAAGCCGCGTCAGGTGGCATTTGACCCCATGTAAACCCCGGTACCCAGCTGCCCGCTGGTCCCAACGACCGAAAAGGTCCTGCTTGGCTGGTTGGCTCCATCTTGATGGGGAACCTACCATGCCAAAAAAAACAAAACACGTTGATTGTTTTTTTTGTTTGTTTGTTTTTTTTGTGCGTGGGTGCCACGCAAAAGAGCCTGCCTCCAGATGCCTGGCCAAACCGAGGGACTCGCCGAAGCCTAGTGCGAGTTGATTGATGCGGGAAATCTGTTCAATCACTTCTACACCTTAGACTCTTAGGCAGGGGAAAACACTGGCGTCGTAACCCGACAAGGAAGTCCTGTAATTCACGCAGTAAGCCTGGGGCTTTTTTTGGGATTGGGATTGGGATGGATTGGGCTTGATAAGAATATGAATCATCCCACCGAACCGCCAGCAACTACACGTGCCATACACCTCGCATTTAGCCAACGAATCCCAATGCAACTCAACAACAAGTAAAAACAACTTTCAGGGCTCCCTTGAAACATCACCCAACCAACAGGACATGTCACTTCAAAATGACAACCAAAAGGCGATGCTTCAAACCACCAAAAGGGACATATGGGTGTGAATTTTGTTTGGTACCAATTTGCACCTTGGCCTAAAGGTAAGTCAAAAGGACAATGTCTTTGGGGTAACCCGCATCTTAAACCGGGATTCTTACATTATACACCCGATAATGTAAATGGTGGTTTCCCTTTATTTAGGTGGAAAAAGCCATGTTTCAACTGAGTATGTAACTTTTAAAGAGCCCTGTTAAAGCACTCCCCTTTTTCGGGAGAAGTTGGGAAACGTCGCACTGGTCGCACTCTCTTGACCCAAAGGGCTGGTTGCCGCAGAGCGAAAGTAGAAGAGCACCGGGGGCTCTGCCTGCGCGAGAAATCCCTGAATCCTGGCTTCGGGCGTACCACCAACTGGGTGGGTCCAACATTAGTTTTAGTTGAATCAGGGCAAACCTTTGGGCATGTTGGAACCATGGATGAGTTCCCTTCAGATTCCTTCGAAGGAAACCACAAAATAATACTTTCGACATCTAGTGAAGTAATGCTGACCATACAACCCACGGTGCAAATACCAAAGCCGTTCAAAAGCAAAACGCGCTGAATCACTATATCGCTATCTCTCTCACACACACACTCACCACACGTAATGCATGAATGTGTTCTATGAACAACCCTGTACGAAGGTCAACGTCCAATGTTGGATGCCTTGGCACACATGCGAGAGAGTAGACGGCACTGCATCCTCGGCCTTAGTGCCTCCGAACATGTTTGCGTGTCAAGTCAAGCGACTGCAAAGTGAAGGGACCAACCACCTCGCATGTTCGACACATGACCAGCCGCTCTGCATGCTCTCTTACAGTGTTGACCATGTGCGCGAGAACACGGGTTTTGCCATGGATATTTCTTGGTTGGTATTCAAGAGAACCGCATAAATCCCTCTTTTGCAGAATCCCTGGCACTGACGCATATCTACGCACAGCATAAGGACACCTCAGTGGCGTTCAAAACGACGTCCAGCTGCAAAGGCTGCAAGGCACTCTTATGGCGACGTGTTTATGCGAGTATAGGGGTAGCCTGCGATCACCCTCATGAGACGGGCCCTATTAAGCCTTTGATCACCCCCTCCAATGCATGCAAACTGTTCTTGCCTTTGTTCCCTCGCGGGGGGATGATGCCGAATGAGTCATCCGCACACACACACACACACTGCACTGCTGGGGAAATCACATCTGGCAGAATTTAGCTTGGTGTTGCTCAACCCAGGCTAAGCCCTGTTTCAACTACCGGTGGCCATGGGAAAAGAGAAGGAAAGGGAAACACCTCCAAAGAGGAACAAAGGGCACAGGAGGTCTCAGCCTCGCCCTGCCCCCTTCCAGCGCAAATGTCTGGGCACCGCGCGACAGCGTGGACCTTGCGTCGAAGGCATTGCAGACGCAGGGTGCCATGTGACAAACAATCGTGTGAATAAATATGACAGGGAAAAGTATCAGGATTTACTCTGAAATGCATCCCAAACTCGAAAAAACGTGAGGTTGCAAGGCATCTTTGTAAGGTTGATGATTTGCCCAGATATGTGCCATATGGGGTAAACTCGTTCAAGGCATGGGCCGCTATGCTTAAACGTGCCTCCAAATCAACACCCGACATGCCAAATACCGAGCATGCTCAGAGGTTCAAGCGTACAGAACACAGGCCTCTGCTAATCTCAGGACTACACAATACAAACAATGGCTGTTGAACGTAAGTGGCCCGGATGCTCGCATGGGAGTTTCTTATAAAGGGGGATGCAACGCAACAAACAATTGACGGTCACTGTGAAGATCCGTCGGCTCTTTGGGAGAGCCGCAACAAGTCCCCAAGCTGAAGTGGCCTCTTTGAGGGCTAGTGCCAGAAAAGGTGAGCTGAGACAAACAAAGGAGAGGATGCCCTACCTCATCTGGCCAATAAAGCCGACAGGGTCGCCATAGGCGATTTAGCCATCAGCTTTCCTCGTGGATTGGCTCGGAGCTCAGGGGTGGGAAATCCCATCCCGCAAGAACCCTGGGCTCAGGGCACAAACCAATCATCGACCCTCCAATGAAAGGAGGCCTGGAGTCGCGGAGTCGCAGACCCACAAAAGGAACGGCTCTTCGCCCCAAAAACGCTGAGGACCCGTGCCAGGAAGCTGCCCTCGGTGCTGTTGGCAGCCATGCGGCTCTGGACCTAGACCGAACTCGGTGCTGCGCATGGCGCTGTTCTCGAAAATGGGACCTACAAAAGAGTACTACAAGTGATTAGAATGGAGTGGGTCATTTTGAAACCTATAGGAGCAAACTATTGGAACTATTTAGCAGCTTTTTTTAATAGGGACTAGCTCGTCCAAATGGAGGTGAATGTTTATAGGACATGGATTTTTTGGTGGACATCACTAAGGGGGGTCGCTGTTGAAAAATGGTCGCTGTTGACAAATTGTCACTATTTAAACTCATGGTCAACAGGGATTTGGACCCAAATGGCTGAAAAGGACACCCTCAAATCCCAGCCCTGCTGGGTTTGGACCCCAAGGTAGACTTGAACCTAGGGGTATGGAGTGGATGGCATTGAGCACCGAAATGGCTGGGGGAAACGAGGGATCGCAAACTGCCAGCACAGCGCGTCAGCAGCTTGCAAATCGGGTGAGCATCTGGCTCTCTCCAGCGTGTTCTGCGTGCAAAGCCCCGGAACCACGAAGTGAAGATTCGGCACGCAGGTCTCCTGCAAAGTATCCTGGCACTCATGACCAAAAGGTTGTAGAAGGGAAGGCGCCAGTTCGCATGAAACTCAATACTCTGTACCCCTTCATCATCGATGATGCCAGTCTTAAAGCATGCCCGCCAACTGCTCGGCCGGCTCGCCATGGGAAGTGAAGACCTGGATGCCGAGTAATGCAGCAAGAGGCCACACAGCACACACACACACATCTGGGTCGTCAAAACCGTATCAATCTGGCACAACATGTGCGGCCACCGAACATAGATGCAAAAGCCAGCGCAGTCAGTGCGTCTTCCTACAAACATGCACAGTTCGCCGTAGTTACCGCCAACAAGAACTAAAGGGACCATTGCACCGAAACTCACTTCCCTCCGTATTTGTAGTTTGATTGGGTTCTTGCTTCCCCTTACAACAACTCACTTCCTGAGTAGACTGGCCCAAAAAGTCCAAGCTTTGTTTTGCCACCAAATGGTCTTCTCAACAAGCTTCAAGTCCTGCACTCAGGCAGAAAGTGAGATAAACGAGACTGAGAGCAATACATCAACTAATCTACACATAACCCAACAGTACAGCTTCATACCCTGCATTCGGGCAGCCCACCCCCTCCATAGCCCTGCAGCCCTGGGGCGTTAAGGAAACGGAGTGCGACCTTAAAGATTTACATTCCCCGCTTTATCTTGGAAATTGATGCCTATTGTCTTTCTGCGACCTGCTTAACAATCTACATCCTGCCCTGTTCATCTTGAGTTTTACCCCAGCATTTTATCTCCAGAGTTCAGGACAAAAGCCCCCCCCAACAACAAGATGTTTTTCCTATACAGTGAAGGGTTTACTGAGTTCCATGCTAATCTTTGGGAGGGCACTAATCAGGGGCTATTCAATAACACACATCTTGCTTCCATGGCTGAATGTGGCTTCATAAAGTACCGCACAACCCAATTTTCCCGGGGGGGGGGGTCTCAAATTAATTCCTAAAATTGGTTGGCGTACTTTGAAGTCTTCCCTTTAAATAGCAACCGGTTTCAATCGAATGGGGCTCCGAACTCCATGTCGATCGAGGCCCGGCTCGTCTGAACCGCCCGAGTTCCGGTCCCGAGTTTCGGGCGCGTTGGATTCGGAGCCGCGGCCCTGAGAAGCTGTGCCCGTAGAGCTCAGGCCTCGCGCTTCGCGGTGAGAGACCGTCTCAGGCCGCGCCGAAAAAACCGATATTTGGCTGGGTGAATTGTAATATTTTGCCAACCTGAAATAAGGTGGTTGGGGGCTCTTCCCCACATAAACCACCATTTGGGGTGAGGCCGTGTGAGGTCGTTATAATTCACCCAGATTTAGGGGACCCTTAGTATTTTGAGAAATACCCGTGTCCGCTTGCCCTGTACAAGATATGTGGGTATGTTCAACTCCATACATGAGGTGCGGTCAAAATGATGTGCTCCCCCAAGAGGATGTGTGCCATAGGCTACTAGATATGTTGACCAATCCTCAAATGTTGAACTCCTTTTTGTGGTGGTGAAAACGTAAGTCAAACAAAGGAGCAGGGGACAATGGCTCCTTTTGCCGGAAATATGTGTCGGAGTGACTTTCAAACTGTGTTTGTCCACTCACAAAGGCACACCACATGCACGATGCCACACCCGCAGCCCGAAACCAATGAAATGGCTCTAGTGGACGGCAAGTGAAAACTCAGCCACGGGCCGGGGATTGGGAAAAGGAGAATCCGCAGCCCAGATCTTTCTTGGTCCAAATCTGCCATATAGCGCATGTCTGGGCTCCTCTGATATGAACATGGCAGAATGAGGCGATGTTTCGATGAGGGTATTTCCTCGGTGCTGAAGAATGAAAACTCCGCAAAGCCGGAGGAACGATCAAATGTGTGCAACAGAGTGCTTAGTGAGAAGTACGTCGACTTCTGTTGCCACATGTCTTGCGCAAAACTTGGGTGCCCGCAAAAAGAAGCACATGGGGACTCCCTGAAGCCGAGTACCTGGTGAAGCACTAGCAGTAACAAGGCCGTGTTGTGGGGCCCCTTCCTTCCGCCAGAGTTTGCTTGCATTTGCCAATGACGTCTGCGATGGCCGCTTTCGGGAAGATCCAGGGTGCAAACCAAGAAAACAGTAAAGGACCACACGATCGGCAAGCAACAACATATACCTCGCGTGCCACAAATACCTCGCATACCCCACATGTTCATACCACACCTTTAACCAGAAACACAATTTGTGTGCAACTCCGAGCCTCGAAACACAGTACACATCCATATTTACTTCCCACTGCGCAGCATGCAACTCACAACCACCCATACGGCTGCCCATATGGCTGCCGTGAAAGTGCGCGCATGCGAATCACGCGCGAATACGGCCTGCCCCCTAAAGGCGTGTAGAGGAAGGACAGGCGCACGTGAAGTCCCAAAGCCTTGCGGCGAGGAGGCTTGGCTGGAATTCTGCAAGGCAAAGGCGCCACAAATCGCAGGTAGCAACGGCATCGTTGAAGCTCGGCTCCGAACAAGGAATGGCGCGGGGAACTTTCTCGAGCTCACTACATATAATATGATGCAAAAGCTGCCTTCAGTATGCATTGTTTGAACAAAAATATTATTTATCTATATCAATGTGAAGGTACACTTATTTTATAAGGTTGGGTGAAAGGCAGCCTAAAGGAAATAACACTCATGTTGGGGGTCCCATAATTTTGACACATCCCCTTGGATTGACAAAAATCAAACCGGTGAACGGGAGGGACACCTGGCGAACGGAAGTCAGAAACCTGCGCTACCGCAGTAGTCACTAGTTCTGAAAGGTGATGATTAAGACTCGGAGAAAAAAACCGCCGCTTGACTCAAAGGCCCCAAATGCACATAGAACAGGAAGATCTCCAAGCCTCGCTGCTTCGATGGTGCTACTATGATGACCTACTTACCTGCAGAACGTCTGTCGAACATCCAAGCAGACTCTGGCCACAGGACAACTCTGACACTCCAACCATAGGCTATAGATAAGGTAGTATCACCTCTTGCTGTGTGACCCCTTAAGGCATATCTGAGACCACAGGAAGTCACCCTGGAACTGAGATTCCAACTTAACTCACCGCTCAAAGGCTTCTCTCAATAGCGGCCGCTTTACATTTCTGCCACCGACGTCGATAGCTCTGTTGTCCGCTTTGAGAATCCAATCATTCAAACTATGTGCACATAGATTGATTCCTCTTCTTCAAACACGGATACATCCCGGCTTAATATGAGTATGTGCAGAAGAGGGGACCTCCAAGAGAGTTGGTTTCCCTTGGCTTTCCCTTGAAGCCACCCCCAAACGTAGCCAAAATTGCAAAGGAACTTTCCACACCGCTCTGTAGCTCCGCGGGTACTTAAACAGAGCTGTTCAGCTGTTCGGGACCAGAAATCCGGTTGCCTGGTGGAAATGGTGGCCCTGGCAAACCAATGGGGCTTGACCACTTGCAAAAAGGAGTAAAAGACCACACTAAACTCCTGAATGACTGGAGCAGCTTACTAGTTGTAGGCCAACAAAGCTGTTTGTAGGGCCCATCCATTTTAAGGCTAAACAATCTTTGGTACGAACCCCACGGAGAACAAAAACAACAACTACAGGATTCCCTACATGTCCCCAATAAACATCACCCCACAAGGAAGCCCACTTCAAACAAGGACCAAAGGGTGATGCTTAGAACGTGAGGGAGGGGGGGGGAAAGAAACCAACGGGAAAACCACAATGTTGGGTGCACCCTATTTTGACACACACACACACACACCTAGAGGGAACCCTGACTCAGTTGCCCAAAGGACCAAAAATTAAACCTTTTGGGGACAACACAAATGGATCAAACGGGGCAAGCATTGATTGCCAGTTGCTGTTTTCTTTCCATGCACTCTACCCCAAAAACCATCAACAGTGATTGAAAAAAGCAGCAATGGCAACTTGGCTATCTAGGAATGGATTTCAAAGGCGGCGGTCCGAACTGGGCGAATTTCAGAACCAGCGCCTCAGGAATCTCCTCTTCTGCCGCGCGCGCCAGGCGCGCCAAAGCTTGCCTGCTGCGTCGTGCAACGCCGTAGGGCTAAAATTGTTTGAATGGGGTCGAGTGCTTTTCCTCTTGGTGTCCCTTTAATACCAAAGCACAACAAGGTAAAGGTACCCTCAAAAAAGACACTCTCATATTTGGTTACTAGCCATTCGTGAGGTTGCCGAACATGGGGGCCCCTGTTGGGCATGACATTAGGCAGGGTGGTCAGGGGGATAAGCACGCTCAAAGGCTCAGAATTGATCAGAATTGGGAATCAGGCGCAGACATAATAAGTCAACGAGCTCAGAACTATTCAGTCGCCGTAGCGACTATCTTCTTCCCCGACTTCTCATGCAGTCTTGGGGAATAGAACAATTCGAGGCCAGCATGATCAGTATGCATGAACTTCGGACAGTGCTTAATTTCAGCTCAGGCTGCATCCTTAGCGATCCCATTACCCAATGACCCAAGATATCCATTGGCCATTTGGCCTGAAAGTTTTCGTCCGGCATTCCGGCAAGACTTGTCAAACTACCGTGAGCCGCTTACACCTGCACAATGCGCCTCGTGCATGGTTTACACATATGCTATCAGGTCAGCGTGACTCACCAATGTCCTTCTGGCATACTGCACAGCTCGGCGTGAAGCATCATTACACATTACGGAATTGCAATCAGGCCCTGCGATTCCGGAGTGATTGTGCAAATGATGTTTGTCAGCAAACTCCCTTCTTTCCTCCAAGCTCCAGCCCAGACTTGCTCGAGTTTCTCGATACTCCTTGCAGTCAATGGACCTCACTGGGAACCCTCCCGCCCAGCGTTCTGCCTTGCACTCCTTGGACATCCAGGCTCAATAGGAGCCAATAATTTGAAGAGAAACGATAAACGATTGAATTATTGCAAGACCTGAAATTGCATAAGCTTAGCTCCCAGCATGACAAAGGTTCGCGCTCGCACAAACATCAGCCACTGTCGCTTCCTTTTGGTTTCTGTGGTCCCGACTCCTTTCAGCCACTGTCCCGCAAGCAAAAACGCACTGGGACTTCCGGGGGTCCTCACTGCCCGGGGCTGCAATCCTTTTCATCACTAAATTGTGTTCGACCAATTCTTCGCTACGTTGCCACTATTGAAGCCAACCAAGTGGTAGCAACATCCCAGAGTCTGAGATCCATAACTCCTGGAGTCAACATACTCCCGTTTGCTCTGGCCGCTCCGTCTCCGACGCGTCCGGTTCCACGCGCCTCTGCAGTGTCCCGGAGGCTGCGATAGGTACCTGCCGTTTGGAGCCAGGGGCCAAGACATGTACCGAGAGCTGGATTTCCACCTGAGTCACAATCAAAACCCGGTATTGAAAACTTGTCTACCCAGAAGAATGTAAATAATTATAGAAGGCGGCCGCAACTATTTCCGGCTAGGACTTCCCCTTGCTAACCTTCATCTACCCGGGTTTTGAGCACGTTTCTCACCTGAAGAAGTCGATCCAGTTTCATGTGGCTGTGAATTTGAACAATTACGGCGCAAACCAATGGCTCATAAAACTGCCTCGAGATGTCATGAAACCTCGTGGGAACCCCACAAAGAAGTTGTTTCATATGACTTTAAGAGGTTGATGGCCATGCCTCAATTCTTATTGATCCTCCAGCACCTTACATAGCTAAACATATAGTGATCACGGGGCTTGGGGGGAGGGAGGGGAGGGGGGAGGGAGCCCACATTTGTTGTGGTTAAGCCATGAAGGCCTTATTCCTCCCCTCTCTCCATTCACAGACCCTGTCAAGTGCATTCGCGGCCTCTGCCTCCCCGACACAGGTGACGCGCAGAACCTGGTGCGTGGGCGGCAAAGTGTATTCGTGCTTTCACAAGGCAAACACAGACCGGCTATGCGCCCTTTCACTGACACACCCTCCCACAAACACGCGCACAAATCTCCGTCACTCGCACACGGCAGGCGCAGTGTGGCGAGTGTGTCCATGTCCACGCGCTATGAAAAAGGGCGGCAGAGATCATTGCTCACCCTGATGGCTCGCCTTTCTGTAAGGCGGCGCAGAGCATGCTCCCCGGACAAAAGGACCTCAGGGTCAATGGCTATTTGTAGGCCAGCCTGCGGGGGATGCACCCGAAGAGCCGAAAGATTCAGCCCTTGCACAAATGGGCAATCAACTGAAAAAAGGGCAGTGATCGCCCTGAAAACACCGCGAAGCATGCGAATCCTTGCGGTGATGGTGAGTTGCTTCACCTGAGCAGGTGGCACAAACTGCAGATCGCTCCAAATCTCGCCCTCCGAAGCGGCCGGCATTGGATGCGAAAAAGGCTGCATGTAAACAATGGCCGCCAGTTCCAACCAGGAAATCTGTACATTTACGCGGTTCGTACTGTGGCGAAAAAGCCATGTGACCAGCTGCTCAACAAAAACGGTGCCAAATTTGGCGGCATGTGAAGAATTGCGCCATTGCAAAGGCCAGTCAAGAGGAAGTGCATCAAGCCATGCGCCGTTGATTGCTGGTAAGCGTTGAAACGGCTGAGCATCTGCTGATACTGAAACCTCCAAATTGTCAAGCGCGGTGTGTCTAAAGGCGGCAAGTTCCAGGTGAAAAGCCCTGAACTTGTCCACTGCAAAAGTTGTATCGACCAATGCTGCTTTGCAAATACTCCACAAGTTCCAAAAGCAAGAGGACCTGCCGTGATGAGCGCGTTTGGCAAAAAATCTGCCTGATTGTTCCAATGGGCGATCCACTCATCGCAAGTATCCAATTGATCCGGAACCATCTGATGTCCGGAGACATGTTGTACCCGAGCGAAACTGGCCGGCGTCTGCTGGATAACGGAACGAAGTTCCTCCCACAGGTCGGCATCGGCCAGAAGAGCAGCAAACCCGCATGCTGCATACGAACTGTCCGTCCAGATAGTGCCGCTTGTGTGTTGTCGGGAAAGCCATCGTGCTGCAAAAACGACGGCCCGTAGTTCGGCGCGGTTCACGCCCTGTTGTAAACCTGCGAGTGGAGACGAGGCCAGAGGCAGTTCATGTGAGGCCGAAACCACTGCCACGAGGCACTCGCCAGCAAGGGGCTGCGTGGAGCCATGCAGCTGCCATCAGTGAACAGGTGGTGATGGCAGTCCAAGGTGTTCCAGGGGCAGTCCTCGTCGGCCGGCTCCAATTGCTGTGCAAAGAGTTGTCGGAGGTCAGCTTCTCTCGAGATCCGGGATGGCAAAAGACGTTCTGTAAGGGCACGCGGGTGTTCATGCCAATGCGCAATCGCCCAACTGTGATTGTCCCTCACTGGCTGCATTGCGGGGCAAGTGAGACACCTGTGCACCAGAGTATCCTCGGCTTGGCAAAACGCGCATGTGGAGGGCTTGACCAAATCAAATTTGCTTTGCTGGTGATTCGTCAGAAAGGCACCTTCGCGTAGTGCATTGACTCGTGACAGTTCCAACGCGGTGAGCCGGTGAGCTTGGTCTCGTGAGGGCTAGGTGGCCAATGGAGGCCTACCAGCCCTTGAAAATCGGCTCGGTGGGCAATCTCCCGGCTGATGCGTTGTTGCCAGCCTGTGTCAGTCGTTTGCGGAGGAATGGCCATGCGTCCTGCTGCAGATTGACCGGCAGGCCATCGTGGTCGATGAGGTAAGGTGGGTCGCAAACTCGCCACCAAATGAGATCACACTGCTCGACCAACTTGCTGAAGGGGCCAGAGAAGAGGGTGCCGTCGAAACAGGACGAAAAGCTGCTCCATAGGTCAAAGATGTGGGGCTGCTTGGCCATGAAGCGAACAAAATCCTGGAATACCCTGATCAGCTGATAGCCTCCCGGGTCGCGCGTGATGTCGTTGCTCAAGAGTGCCAAGCGAACGCCTGGATGAGCTCCGGCGCGTCCATGGCCGAGGGCTCTGACTGCTTTGGTTCTGAGGCGTGCTATGTCCGTCCAAGGCATGAGTGTAATGCCAATGGCGTGAAAAGCCTTGGCCCAGAAAGCCTGAATCAGGATGGTGCCCTTCTGAAAGTTTGAGGCCCACGAACGTCGCAGCCTGGCCCAAAGTGGATCGAGTGCATCCAGGCGAGAGCGTTGGGTGCCCATGGTCTTTCGGGCGCAGTAGTGCATAGCGCCTCCAAGGTCGGCATGTTCTAGCTCTACTGTCAGCTGGAGTTGACGAAGAGCGGAGCGATCTGCCGATTGTGTAGCCCAGAAGTACGTCTTCTGCTTGTCGAGCCGGAGCGACCACAAGTGAAAGTACTATGGTGCAGAAGCTAGCAATGACTGAGCCGACCTCCTGTCCAATGAGTTCCAAATTGTCCACATAGGACTGAGGAATAGTGCGCGGGGCAAAGATGGACAGACGTCCCAAATCCAATCGATTATAGTCATGCCGACGAAAGGGAGCAGCCTTCAGGTAGACCAGTGTCAGAAAGAATGCAGTCGCCGATGTGGTCCTGGATCTTGAAGTAACGTTCCGCATTGGCAAGAAACCGTTCCCAAGCCCGAATGATTCCAGGAGGAAGACCAAGGTGAAGGGCGACCGTGAAGAGCGGCTTTCTGGGCACATGCTCAAAGGCCTTGCAAATGTCCGTGACGTTGCCTACCAGGTGTAGGTCTTGTTGGAGCGCGCATTCGATCGTTTGTGCGGAGTGCCAAAGGTCTCCGGCCTCGCGATGTGGCAGGAAACCACGGACCCCGGCTGGTAGTCTTTGGCCCAGCTGCCTGATGATGCCCTTCGAACGCATAGAGCTCCAGCTACGGTAGATCATGGGGAAGATGACAATGGGGCGGTAGTGGGCCGCCGTATTGGGAAGGGGATGGCAAAATCCTTTGAGGAGCTGAGAGGCCAGTCGGCACCATCCTCTATATGCTGGAGCAGTTCAACCATGCCCTCCTTGAGTGTGTACGGCATGTGCACCAGGTCAAGGTGGTCAAAGCCGTCCGGTCCTCTGGCTGAGCGAGCCGTGTAGCGGCGGTTGATCGACTCCCAAGCTGGAACATTGAGCTGCGAGTCGGCGAAGGGGAAATTCGGGACGTGCGCATGAACGAAAGCAAAGATCCGATTCCATTCAGCAGTGCTTGGAGGAGATGAGGAATTCCACCGAGGCTTCCAGAACTCCTGGATCTGTTGCAGGATGAGGTTCGGGTAGTCCATTCTTGACGGAGGACTTGGCCAGGGCAAAGTAGGAGCTCGCAATTCACCAGGAAGGTGAAAGGGCGCAAGCGAATAACCTTGGCCGGCTGGTCGTCCAAAACCATCGGCCACCCGGGTGGAGGTCAAAATCATAGTCTGTTGAGACCTGTAAGTTGGCCGGGGTGACGTGGATGACTTCCGCCTCCTTGGTCTGGGTGAGCTCGGTGAGGGACTTGAAGTCCTGGCTGGTGACGTCTTTGAAGGAGTCACGAATGTGTTCTTCACGACGGGCTTTAAGGAGGGCACATCGCTGTCGAAGGCTCCAGGACTCCAACTGGCGATAACATGCCACGAAGTCATAAAAGATGTTATCCAGTCGCTGTAGCGAAGGGAGCCGGTCTGGGAAGATTGTATCCTCCGGATCGGATTTGATCGGCCGATGTTGGCGAAACCATCACCAAAGCCTTTCGCCTTTTTGATGGCTGCCCAGGTGAGGAGCCTGTATTCAACGGCTGTTGGCTCGTCGCTGCCACGTCGAAGGTTGTGGAGGAGAGATTGAATCCTCCGGAGCTGGGTAAACCACCGGTGGTTGACACGACCAAGAAAGTCGGAAGAGGGTTTGATCTCACCTTGTCTGCTCGGGCGTGGTACTGGCTGTTGCAGAGGTCGTTCCTTGGCGGCAAAGTGTTGCGCCCGTCCCCGGCAGGCTGGCAGCAAATGGCCGTTCAGCGAAGGCAGCACGAAGCCGTGCAGGCTGTCCTCATAGGTTTTGCCCAGGGCTTTGAAGAACGACGTGGTGTTGCCGTGGTGGTCCGCCAGGGAGGTCATCTCCGGTTGTGAGGACATCCATTGTTTGTCGATGGATGTGCATGGTAGTTTCGCAGGCATGGGCCAGTACTTCTGTGGTGGAAAATGAAGGGGCAAGTCGAACCATCCAGTGACGGCCGAGTGGTCCGGGAAGAGGTCTTGAATCTCAGTTTTCTTGTAGTAGCTGCGGAGCTCGGGGCTGATGAAGAGCTTGTCTGGCCTGGTTCTTCCTTTGCAAGTTGGGAAAGGCCCTTCCTGGAAAGCCGCAGCATGAAGATCCTGGACCTCGGTCCAGCCCAAGCTGAGCCACTCTTCAGTCTCCGGGTAGCTGTCGCTGTTGAAGTCTCCGCTGATGTAGCGGAGTCCGGACCTGCCGTACACCACTTCAGCGGTTAGATGTTGTAGAAGCTACGAGTGGCCGCTTTGGCCTGCGGCCAGGTGGGGCCTTGTGCCCAGGCGTAGATCACAGCGTTGCCGCCGAGGTTGAACTGTGAAACCATCGCTCGTCCTTGGGAGAGCTCGTCGTTGGGGAACGGTAATCGGAGTTGATGTGCTGGCGCATCACTGAGCTGAAGGACTCCAGCCCACACTCCTGTGGACTGGCTTCGTGCCCGAAGGGCCACGGGTGCTCCAGGTAGCAGCCACCAGCGTCGATTGTCCTCGGTCGCCATGTAGCGCAGCGAGTGGCAGGCCGCCCTCATGCCAGGGGGTGCAAGGTGCGTCTCCGCGAGATTGACAATGCCTTGCGGTAGTTCATAGACGTGTGGGGTTGGCGACCGTGATGGCAAAAGGTGGTCCAGGATTGATTGCCTCCACAACCGGTGTGAACTTGGCGGGGAAGCAGAGAGGCCAAGGAGTGGAAGGCCAGGATGAGGGCCTTTGAAACATCTCCAGAGCAGGAGTCGTGCAGCG